TTTTCACGCGGCGCAGGAGGAAGGGCTTCAGGATGGAGTGCATGGTCGACACGAGGGTGCGTTTCCGGCGCTCCATGACATCCGTCTGGCCGCTCTTATCCAACATGGAGGAGAAGTCGAACCAGCTCTGGAAGCTGTTCAGGTCGTTGAAGATCTCCGGGAGGAGGAAATGCAGTAATGACCAGAGCTCCGTGATGTTATTCTGCAGCGGGGTACCGGTGATCAGTAGTCTGTTCGCCGAATTGTAGGTGAGAAGCTCCTTGATGAGCTTGCAGTTCATGTTCTTCAGGCGATGTCCCTCATCCTGCGAGTTGGTTTGATGTCAGACAAAACTCCCCTTAAAACTTCCCCCCTGCTCCGTCACGAGAATGCGAACATACCACAATGATATAGCGCCATTGATACTGCGCCAGGAACTTCCGATCATTCATACAGATCTCGTAGGAGGTGCACACCACGGGGAAATCCATCTCCCTCTGATTCTGCATGTTCATAAACTTCCTCCGGAGCTCCGCACGCTGGTCCTTGGTCCCATGATACAAGACCGTCTTAATGCCCGGCGTCCATTTGGCGAATTCATCCACCCAATTACTCACCGTGCTCAAGGGGGCCGCGATCAGAAAGGGGCCGGAGACATTCTTCTCCTTGAAGAAGGCCAGCAACGAGATCGCCTGCACCGTCTTGCCCAGCCCCATCTCATCGGCCAGAATCCCACACAGCCCATTCATCCACAGCGACTTCAGCCACTCCAGCCCTTCCAGCTGATACTTCTTCATGCGACCCCCGGTCACCAGCTCCGGCTGCTGCGTAGCGACCAGCTCCTGTCCGCCCAAGGCCGTCGGGTTCGCCTCGTACTCATCCGCCGCATGCTCCAACGCTTCCTGGACCGTGGGCTTCTCCCGGTCAACACTCACATCCGCCTTCTGGAAGTAGCTCGAGATCGTGTTCCCAGTGGCAGCCGGCTTCCGCCCACGTCCTCGCCTGGATTTGGTAGCTTGCTGCGGTGGCTGTTGCTGTCCACCTTCCTCCTCCGCCTTAACAGCGCCATTCGCACTCCCACTTTCACTCGGATTAGAATTAGCAGCCTGCCTCGCACTCGTCCGCGTCTGCCTCGTTGCCCTCGCACCATTCACCTGCTGCGCCGGACTACCACCAGCCTTCGCCGCCTTCGCCGTCGTCGCAGCTCCTCCCTGCTGCTCCCGCCCCTGCTCCAGCTCTCGCATCTGCTGCACCCTCAAAGCCTCCGCCCTCGCCTCCTCCTGCTGTTTCTTCATCCTATCCGCCATAATCGCCACGAAGACCTACCCTCCCCCAAAAAAGAGTCAGCCTGAGAAAAACCCCTTTCAACAAAACTAACCCCGGCGCGAAGCAACAAACAGGTGGATAGCAAACCAACCTCACTCGTATTCAACAAATGCATCAACGCCTTCGCCTGTACATCCATGCCCTCCAGATCCTCCGCGGGACCGGGACCGGAACCGGGGTTGCCATTCTGCTCGACAGTCGTGTCCGTCATTTTGCTTGGTGCTTGCTTTGCCCTCCCTTCCTTTTTGTCTTTTGGTGAATGAACAGCGAATGGGCGTCCGTCGAGTTCGCAAGCGGCTTCCGTAGGCGAGTAGGCGAGTTGGCGAGTTGGCGAGTACGCGATGAATTAGATATTATGACAAATATGAGAGTATCCTCTGTGCTGCCCAATGAATCTCGAAAATCGTACGTAGAATTAGGTCGTGCAAGGTATCAGTTCGCCACCCAAGAGGAAAAAAAAACCTGTGGATTATGTAGCTAGAATTGAGGGTCAGGTTCTCTCTCCGCTATTCGCCGCTGTGGCGCACGCACGCGCGCGGGGAGTGATCGATATGGTCTTGGGTCGGGGGAGGGGGGGGTTCTGTCGGACCGAATTAAGGTGGTGGTATGCGCAAGACAAAATCTCTGCAAGGACTAGACAATTGCAACCAACTCGAGGAGAAACAAAACTGAAACAGCGATGCTGCAGAAGCCAATCGTGGTGGTGACGACTCGGAATGGGTGGGCGTAAGGCTTACGGAGGAGACGCGGAAAGGCGCGTTGCGGAGCACGGACCATCTTTTGATTGATTTTCTTCTTTGCCTGAGGCTTCTTGCCTTCCATGCCGCCAAAGTCACATGCAAAGAAAGATAGGCTAAGCTTCCCGTTTCCTGCAGGGCAATTTCGAGTTCAATTGCTTAACCGTACGACTGCTGAGATGATAGGGAAGTATAGCCATCCATGATCTGATTTCGAATTGCCCAGTTGAGCTATACACACGCATGTGGATTAGTTTGGCAAGCATGATATTCAATCATGTATCGGTGACATTGTCATCTAGATTTCAACTACATCTCTACTGTACATAGACCACAGACATCTTATTCTTACAGTTCGCTTCCTCCTCCTTGGGATAGAACATCGAGTCATACGACCAGACGGAGCTGTCCTTTGATTGCCGCAGTCACCTCGCTGGGGCTCCATTCCATCTGCAGACCACGATTAGATTGGTACCTGTACAAGGACCATTTCATCCGCAGTATCATATTCATCTGCATCACTTCCGACGGATTCGCTTTCAGACCTTGTACTAACGTCCGGCTTGGCGCTGTTCGATTGCTTCTTGGTCTTTAAAACGGGATCTGACTCGCATGTGGTATGTGATGACGCCCCTGTATCTTGACCGAGCATGTCGTCCATCACGCCATCAGACGACTCTGCCTGTGTGTCCTCGATTCCCGGAAATTCCGCGCTTTCAGCGAAGGCATAGTTGTCGTCATCTTGTAGCGACAGAAAATCTGTCGTGCGAAGCACTTGAGAAGGGCTTGTAGGAGGGGTCCATATATCTTCAGGTAACAATTTGCGACAGTTAGATGGCTCCTCTTGCTGGGCTTCCCCGGCTGCTCCTTCTGACATTCTTTTGTGTGCTTCTTTCACCATTCCGTTGATGTGGTTTCTGATACGCATGGAGACTGTCATGCGCTTCATCCAACCGGAGTGGCCCGAACCAATTGACACGGACCCACCAGCTGCTCTCTGCGATGTTCCAGTCGAGGCGTCAGGATATCTCTGGTGGCGCTCGTTCATGCCGGACGTTGTAGCAGTGTCGCCTTTTCGTGTGGCCAGTATTGGATCACAACGCTCGAAGAAGACCAAACTCAGCGGAGGGAACTCCTTGAAGATATTCTTTGGTTGTATGTACTGCAACTCGGGATGTGTTCTCTGAGCCAACCTTTCCTCGCTGACAAGCTGAGTATGAATATGATTGTCCCGATTGGGATGGTGATAGTTCTTGCTTGTATCCCGATGACTGAGAAGTAGCCATCGAGGAGGATCTTTGACTTGACCTTGGCATGACAAGATATCCTTCAGCATAGATGGACACTTTGTACCAATGCCGTTGATCTCGGATACCTGAGCCGAGGTTCTATCGGTCATTCGCAACGCTGTGTTATCGACTGCATCACCACCCGTGGAGTTCATGGCAGAAGCATCAGAACGACGAGGCTCGGGGACAGTGCTCTTTGCCAACCCACGACACAAGTCATCAGCCGAGATCTGCAACCTGGTCGTATAGCCCCTCCAATCGCCTGCAAGCTCCCCATCCATCTCACGTTTCAGTAAGAACCTTCGAGCGCGGAGTACCTCATCGGCCAGACAGATCAGGAAATCCGGTTCGATAGCCCGCTTAATCTTGCGAAGAGACTGGCGCAGAATCATCTGGCATGCCACTTTCGGCTGCACCTGAGTGGCTCGCGGGGTGACATTGTTGGTCCGAAGGATCGCTCCGAGCTGCTTCCCACGCATTGCCTCTAGGAGCCTGTCTTCCTTTTCCAACTGCTTCGCGCGAAGTCCTCGATTGCGCTCTAGCTCCTTCATGTCCTCTTCTGAGATCCCAAGCAAGATCCTGGCCGGTCGACTATGGCTTTCCTCCACATTCTCGAAGACCTCAACCTGCATTTGTGGCGACAGATCGCGCCATTGGGAAGCCTGCAACGTCAGATCAACTCGTCGCGTTAGTCCTTCCGCTTTCTGAATCCGGCCCTTCCCCCGGATATATAGGAATCTTACCGTAAGTGGCTCAACAACAGGCTCGTCATCCTCTTCCTCGTCCGTGTCACTGTCTTCCATACCCTTCTCGAACGTCGCGCTCTCCGATTCTGCTTGAGCCATGATGGCCATGTTCTTGACGTAGATCGGATTGAGCTCGCCATTACTCACAATCAAGTTATCAATCTGCTCGACGGGTATCTCTTCGCATTCAGCTCTGGGCTCCGCAGCCGTCTCCAAGACCGGGCCATCGATATCAGCATTATTGATCATGCAGTCGTACGAGCGCTTGCGACTGCCATTGTCTTTGCCCTCGTGAGTCGGGTCATCGGTGCGAAGCTGCGGGTGGCGCGGTCGATCCAAGGTAGGGAAAGCCGCAGGGGGGAGGTTGGGATTGAAGGTATCGGCCCTGGACTGATATGAACTGATGACTCGGCGTGGCGCTCTTCTTGTGGTTGTGTAAGTGTGCGCCTCTTCGTTAAGCCGATTGGGCAGACGGATGGTCTCGCGGAGTCTCATCATGAGCCTGCCGCGTCAGGTGAAGAAGACATGAGGGTGAAAGTGATAAAGAGAATTAGAAAGATGATGAAAACGGAGAGGTGTATCGGAGTCGAATACCAGGCAAGGAATACAAAAGAGAAGAGAGTCCCAAGGCATGTGGAGGGCTGGTGAATGAGAGTGAGGTGATTCGGTGCAGTGACCAAATGAACGAGGCTTCCCTTTTTAGAAAGAGGAAAACATGAGATAGTGAAGTGAGGCTTCCACTCACCAGCAGCAGAGAACATCATTCGAACTCTCACCCAGTTCAATTACCATGTACCTGCTGAGCAGGAGTTAAGCAACTCCAGCCATCAAGCCACATAGGCATCGTTATTTCCTTTCTAGGTGTTGCTCAGGTCATGTAACAAAGAGGCAAGCTGCAAGATTGTACTCATTAAGAAAGTATCACACACACACAAATACTAGCGAGATTTCGGGGAAACGTTCTCATTGAGCCATGACATCTTTTGACATCATCTTCTGATATCTTATCTTCTGCCCGCGAAACACATCCATGTATGTCATCCTGACCGATCCTCAAAGGGAGCCAGGGGTCGTCTGCTCCCATCCGCCGCCTCCCCCGCTTCCAACCCCATAGCGTAACCATCCTCTTCAACCATATCGAATTCACCGGCATCCCGTTTTCTACACGCACCCCTGACCGGAGTATTCTTTGCCTCGCTCGCCCGTCTAGCTTCCTCGACATCCCGCTTGGCATCGAGGATGCTCTCGAAGGACAACAACAGCTGGGACGCCGGATCATCGATGTCGATACAGAACCGGCGCGCGGAGACATACTGCAGTGCCTGCGGCAGACTGATGTTGAGCATCACCATCAGGTACGCGATCGCAACCACGGCCGACGGACCATTCCCCGTCTCACAAAAGAGCAGGACCTTCTTCCGGGCATGGCCGCTCGGCTCAGTGGCGGGGAATGAAGCGACATGAGCGTTGATGTGGTTGATGAGTCGAGGCAGCATCGTGATAAGTTCTTGGTTGTCTGCGAAGTCAACGGTGCCGTCTTCTATCTGCAGAGCTTCCGCTGCCCGCCTGCCGCTGATCAGGCTGGCCATGGCGAGTCGCTTGTCCCGCACGGCTAAGAGAAGTGTAATTCCCTCCTGCACGAGTCGGCCGCGGTCGGCGAGGCAGCTCCAGGGACCCAGGTAGAGAAATGGTAGCAACGGCTGGGCTTGCCGGCGCATCTCGTAGGACCACTGAAACATTGGAGGTGGGATGGTGAAGCACAAAGGACCAACTCGGTTGAAGAATCCGTCAGGCACGAATTCGCCCGCCTGGAAGGCATGGTTCTCGGCGTTGACGGGTGCATGGGCTTCAACATCGAATTCCTCGTAAGACACCGTGGGCTGGTCGGTCTTCTGCCTGCGAGTTCCCAGGCTGTACTCATGATTCGGGGTGTACCGAGCACCGACACCTTGGGACGTCGCGTCCTCCGCCAGGGACGATGTCAGTGCCATTCTTGCCGGAGACCTAAGCCTTTGGGCCAGGAGAGAGAAACCTAGTGAGCGATTCTGAATTTTGTTTTGAATGTTTCAGTTGATCTCTTGTTTTGTTCTCAAGTCGTGATCACAGCCATCAGAAGAAGAGGGGGTTAGATTGTGTCGGGAGAGTGGAGAATGGAACAGTTCTGATTTGAAGCTCAACCAAAAGCATTGAGTCGTGAGAACAAAGAGACGCTAGTATGAGAGGTACGCATGAAGTGTGGAAAGGTCCATCCATTCACTGTTCGGACTGCCTTGATTCCGTTGATTGACTCCCTTCTTCCTGTCTCCTGTTCATTATATCATCACCGCCTTTGTGCAAGTGGCTGGCTTCTCTGCTTTCAGGTACGGTACAGACACACTCGTGGATCGGATAGTAGTGGAATATTTACCCTATGGAGTCTCGCCCAATCATTTGGTCAACTGACTCAGCAGATGGGTAAGTGAACTACGAGTATCACAACAATCCATATCTGACGTTGGCAGGGCGGGGTTATATGTCAACGTAAGGAAGAGGCGATCCTGCACGCATCCCCGCCGACGTACAGTACAGTACAAGCACGTCATCTCCTCAAAAGAAACTAGCAATGACTTCAAGTTCAACGAGACGAGTGCGCGCGACCAATCCAGACCCTCACCAGCCATGGTGAGTTACACAAAAAAATCGAGCTGAGACAGGATCACCGCAAAAGTTAATTGCATCGTCCGGGAGTCGAACCCGGGCCACTTGTTTGGAAGACAAGTATCGTAACCGTTTGACCAACGATGCTGTTGGTTGACATTTGCCACTCAGCTATGGCTCTCCAACGGCCAAAACATCAGCTTGTTGGATCTACACCATCCATCGATGAATCCTTGCGTAACTCGATAGCAAACATCGGCAGCTCTTTACATGGCATGAGTCACCATAGCTCGGGCTGCACTTCTTTGCAAGGCCAGCTTGCGCTTTATCAGGCGGGGCTGGAAGCACATGAGTCAGAGCAAGAATCACGAGAGAGAAGCAAGCCTTATCCTGTGTGAGAGATGTATGCTTGCCGGGTTCCTGACGGTCTGGGAACTGCGGATCCTGAATGTCACGAGGCTGAATGTCAGAGAGACAATACACCGAGTTGTCAGCCACGTGAGCCCAGCGAGTCAGCGCCTTGTATATGCTAGACGAAGGAGGCGAGTATGTGCGTATATCACACCAACACCACTATGATTGCGCCGTGGCTTGGAGTTCTGGGGTTCGATGCCGCAGCGTCGGTTCCAATGATTACGAGATGAGATGGATCGTGAATCCTCGAAAGCCACTTAGAGGTAATAATATGTTTGAGGATATTATGACAGGCATCATAAACGAATGCGACTCCTTTGGAATCCCAACATGGACAAAATAACTACGCACCGGAGTAGAGACAACAGCATGAGGATAGACTGGGAGTGACAAAGGAAACTTAGGTTGAAAAACGCCTGGGTATATTTCAGGAAATAAAGAAAGAGTAGGAACCATTAGAACACCACCTGGTCTGTATCTTCGACCTCGAGCAAACGCCATATCGTCAGAGCTGCCTGAGTTTTTTATCCATGCATTCTGAGATGTAGACCAACCATATGAACGAACCTCCCACTGATGTTGTAGACAGAATCGCGCGAACCCAAGGTCCGTACTTTGCATATGAAAACGCCCATCGAATGCAAACCACATAGTGCAGACCATAAATAAAGAGAGATTTCAAGCATCAAGGAAGTGTCTGGGATAAAGAATGACACGGACAAGATGGAGAAAAGAGGATTGAGAGGGTGGGGGTTAGAAACATGTAAATCGTAGAGAGTCTTTGCCTCGGGGGCATCTATCCTTGAGAGGTCGCGGTCTGCGGTATAGCTTGCTGCAGGCCAGCGACAATCCTTTCGAGTTCTTCCAGCCGGCGATCCTTTTCCTGGACCTCGAGCTGCAGTCTCTTGAGCTCGTTTCGGAGAGTGACGCCGTTCCCAGAATCCTCGGAGAGATCCAAGGTAGGATCCTCATCGATAGCATCGCGCTTGCGCTTCAAGGTAGGAGGCACGCCAAGAGCTGCGGCGTCTTCCAGATCATCCGGAGACGGGATGGGAGGTAGATCTGGTGCAGGACCATTCTCGGTATGCATGTGGCGACGGCGGAGGTGCTCCTTCAGGTTCTCCTGGCGCGTAAACCCGTTTCCTGTACTGCGATTGCAATCGACGTAGGGACACATCAGTGGTTTCTTGGCGTTGATGTTTTTCTTATGCACCTCGCGCTGGTGCCGCAATAGACCGCCTGAGTACGTGAATCCCTGGATCTTGTCACACCCGGGTTCCATGCACTTGTAGGGGCGGTCATGTTTGTCCATGTGCTTACTGTTACAATGACCTGTTAGCATTCTATTTCCGGTCCTTCAACAGAACTCCAAAGGGGAGAAGAGAAGAACTTACTTCCACTCGCATGGACGGCGAAAAGTGGGAGGCGATTGTTGGCACTCCGGGTGATCGCAGTAGATTTGGCCTGCAGAGTTCTTGGGCGGATCCCGCGCTCGCCTCACCGACAGTCGCGGACGCGCCCCTTCCATGAAATTGGGTGGGAGTTGTTCGTTCACGTTCATCTTGGGTGCTGCGACAAGCGGTTCCTGGGTAGCGACTAAAACTGAGGTAGGTCCGCCGGGACCTTCACTTCGTGGGCTAGGATAATCAGAACCGTCACCCATAGCGTAGTTCCAACCCCGCCGTCAATTGAGATGGGCGGAGATGTCCCTAGGAGGAATCGAAAAAGTTTGAACCGAGAGACTCCGAGACCAAGGTCTATATGACCGAGCAAATAGAAAAAGGAATGTAGTAAGTAACAAAATCTAGGGGTAGCAAAATAAAGCACAAGCAAGTTGGTATAAAATCGAGTTGGTTCGACCTAGTTTGAGTCGGGTGGCACTGGCTGGAGGATGGATGTTGGTTCCTTAACTCGGAAGGGCGGATTGCCAGGATTTTTAGGACACTAAGCCAGGCATCGAGTGACTAAGCAGCTGGAGGCTTGGCAAACCGCCACTGGAACAGCGAGAAAACGGAATGGGATGGGATGGGAGAACAAACACAACCTAACCAGGGCGAAACGTTGGTTCATGTATGTAGACAGTGTAGACAATTATGATTATTGCTATTGTGATTATTCTGGCTTACTGATTCTGACCGGTACTTGGAATATCAACTCAACATGCCTTGCACACGTGGTGTGATCAGAGACGCGTTATATCTGTCCGGCGCAGACAATGGTACACAATAGGTTGGCGTTAGTTGTATTGGTAGGCGCCGAATCACCCAAAAATCTTGATGGCAAACTCTTTTGAGAGATTGTTTAGGCTGCGACTAGTGAGTCACGCAGAAAGTCAACATCAGGCAACCAAGCGAGGGGAAGGGAGGTTTATCGGCAGGATAAGCCCGAACTGTTCATTCCTGGTCGACCCAGGCCAAAGCTGAGGTGTTGGTTGTACTTACTGTACGCACCTCACTACAGTACTGCTACTCACAATTGGTTTACTGACGAGCCGCCACATACCAGGCAAGAAAGATTTTGCGTGCCTCATTGCTGCCTGGCAATCACTACGGCACGTGCAGGTCATGCTTCAGCCACACTGCCTAACTGATGTGGCGAAGTAAGGTTTCTATTTTAGGAAACTCCGACATATCGAGGGCGCCTCGGCTGGCGATACATTGAACCAACTGGAGTCCTCAACCCTCCACTGTTACCTGCCAACAGAGAATATGAACTTGGAAACCGTTCCCCAATACAATCTGCACCGTCTCTCTCGCTGAAGTCAACCGTGCCAAGATTTCGCTTGAAATCATATCTCTCACCCAGGCAGTTTACTACCTTAGGTACCCAAACCTCCTGCGGCATCGGAGCACATACCTAGTAGCATACTGCGTTTTCTCGCCCAATCCCGAGCCACTCCATCCATTAGGCACAGAGACCGTTAAGCGCTGCTCCACACCAGACTCAAAGAAAACATATACACCAATCAAGCTTGAAAGACAGGGGCTCAATAGACACCTGAGACGCTACGCTCCACGCTTTGGAAACAAGCAGGGATCGTGGCGCGGCTTGTCCTGGCTGATTTGTTTGACGCGCAGGGTACTAGTCAACTTACTGCACATTACTTACATTGGTAGATTCATCGGCAATACAGCTCATCCCTACGCACATCATGTAGCTGCGTTATTAAACATCCAGGAATTTCGTCAGCTAAGCTGCTCACCTGCCCCAAGACAATTCCCTGTCCTTCTTCGATTCCTGCACAATAAAGTATATCGTCTATGCAAGCGGCTGTCCAGTAGCCGGTATCGGGTATAATCGATCGTATATACCTATTGCCGATCAAACCAGCCATTCATGCTTCTCCCAAGGCATGGCCACAAAAGCTGTCAAGGAGTTGCGTCATCTGCATGTTCGTTCTCAGTGGCTTCTCATAATTCTTGTTACTCAGACAAGGAAAATTAGGCATCTCGATTTTATGAGCCTATCGAGCCTGCAAAGATAGACAGACTTAGGCCCTGTCCGGGATTACATACGTATACCCAAGTTACTTGTATGGATCGCCATTAGTGGCGCAGTCCTGCCACGATCAACACCATGGAGAATACCTTCATCTTAATCGTTGTCTCTACATGAATCAGTGAATTAAATTGATCCTTCTCTTATCTCCGTCGCTAGGACAAGCCTTCAAAGCACCGGGTAGTTATATTTAGGTTGATCGACGAGGCTCTGATAACTATCTTCTCAAAAGTTTCTGTACTGTGCGAGGATTGCTTGCGCAAGGTGAAATATGGATGTCTCTTCTGCCCTCGAACTTATGTGGATCAGGGCGGAGAGTAGCTTGTGTCTACTTCACACTGTTGTTCTGTCGACTTCACGTACCTGAGCCGTCGTGACCTGTCCTCACATATGAAGCTATTACGCGCACGCCTATCCAAGCTATTAATGAGAGCTCCTAGACAATTATATACCAATAAGCCTATGATGCTGAGCAGCTGGCAAGGAAGAACGCTGGAAATACGGATGCCTATCAGAGCTCTGCTACTTCTCAACTATGTTTTTGTTCCTACTTCCGCCGATCAAGGGCGCTATGTGGCTATGCTGTTCTTGGGTTGAGTCAAAGAATCGAAGGTGCCGGATCAGAATGGTCGGACTGCATCATGGAAACCAAGCTACGATACAAAGTGTTATGCTAGTATGCACATCACCTCTTCAACTAACAGACATAGCCTCGCACGCCATGATAATGGCACAGTTCGCATATGAGTTTTTTTTAGATTGGGTTGGAAATACGACAATAAGCGATGTAAAGCAATGCTAGCGGAAGTAAACAAAGAGACGTTGGACTAGGATTGGTGGTTTTGAAAAACCTTCATCCACCTCGTCCGCGATAATGGTAGGCCTGGCTGGTTGCCTCGTAACTCCCGAGCGCAGCCGTGAGCGGAGAAATTGACATGACATACCGCTGACTCTTTCGAGCGACTAATATCAATGATATCCATGAGACATAGTACGAGATATTTCATACAGCCCTCGCCTATCACATACCGTGGGTAGGGTCTTGTAGGACTGCACCACAGTGTGACGAGAACCGATGTTCGCTACGGTGGACAGGTAGCAGCATTTCGAAACTCGAGACTTCCATCCGTTACCGACAAGAGTGCCGAAAAGAGAACGAGGATGTCGCAATCGTCTCCTATTATTGAGGGTCTGCTTATACTGAAGCTGCCCTAGAAAGCACAGGGGATCCCCCTTCCTTGAGAATATCGCCAAGGCCATGTGGAGCGCCAGGACATCGAGTCTTGTCCGAGGACAGCCAGTCCAGTCGATTCTGCGACTGGCTGTTCCGAAGTCTGTGGGGATGACCGTAGAAGCTTCAGGGTCAGCTCCCGATTCTGAACTTGCCAAGACCTCTTCAATCAATCATAGTTTCCCCCAATCTGGCTGGCAAAAGCAGTCGAGACGCTGCGAGTATCATCGTCGTCGTGCATGTGCCCTGGAACACCCCGGGTGACACGAATGCTAGTCGAGCTGCCTCCAAAGATGCTGCCGTTGTCGGGAACACCAGGCTTGTAAGGCTCACGTCCTCCAGACTCCACATAACGCTTCAGACGGTCAGATTGGCTGAGACTGGGCTGCTTGGTCATGTCGTTGATACTCAAACCAGCAAGGCTGACACCCCCTTGATCGGCGGTCTTTCCGTCGATGATGCTGCCCGTGACATCAGACTCGGTGGCTGCGATGGACTCTCCAGCAATACTAGGGGCACCCTTCATCCGGTTCCCATTGGCCCGGCGACCGCCGGGGAGGGCCGGCCACGAGTCGGCAAAGTTTTGAAACATAGGCGGGTAGCCGGAAGGAATGCTCACACCACCAAGAGCAGATGAATGAACAGAAGAAACATCATCGGGGATATATCCTACAACGGATCCAGTATCATGGAATTCGTTGCGGTGGCCATTCTTCCCTGTCATCAATCCACTGGTCACATTGGAGGCATGATTAAACGCCATCTGGAATCGCTGGGGTCCACGATATGCCTGCTTCGGGCGGCTGAATTGGATGAGGGATTCCTGCAGGTTGGACAAGGGTCCCTCAACAAGACAATGTCGCTCCTTGAAGTGTTGCAAGAGGCAGTTCCACAAAGGATGCTTCGACAGGACCTTGGGATTTCCCAAAATCACCAGTCCGTATTTAGCACGAGTGAGCGCGACGTTGAGACGGCGGGGGTCACTCAAGAAACCGATGCCTTGGTGGTCATTTGAACGAACACACGAAAGGATGATGAAATCCTTCTCACGACCCTGGAAAGCATCGACGGATGCGACCTCAATCTCCTTGTAGTGTTCTTTCTTGAAAGTGCCAGTGGCCTGCATGGAGCTGACGATGTAGCTACGCTGGCCTTCGTAGGGAGTGATGATACCGATGTCCTGGGGCTGCACTCCGGCCTTGAAGAAACGAGTGACAATCTTCTCAACGTTTGTCGCCTCAGTGCGATTGAGATAGGAAGTACCGGAGGCCGAGATTTCTTCGTTACCCAGGTTTGACCAGAACATCATAGGGTTATCAAGGATGGGCCAAGGGAAGTCAACATCACGGCGAAGACGGTCCAGAGGAGAGATACCGTTCTGCAAAGAACCCTCGTAAAACATATTCGAAGGAAACTCAGAAAGACATGGGTGCATGCGGTATTGAACGTTCAAGCGAATAGGAGAACATCCCAAGATAACAAGACGCTCAAAGAGCGATTGATTCAGACCAGCCTTGGCAGCCTTCTTGTTCATGATGACAGGACCCAGCTGTTGATGATCACCAACAAGGACGACTTGCTTGCAGCCCAAAACCAAAGGAATCATACACTCCGGCTCAGCAGATTGAGTCGATTCGTCAATCAAAACAGTGCGGAACTTGAGTTTGGAAAGACGTGGATCACCAGCACCGACACAGGTACAGCAGATGACATCGGCATTGTTGAGGATCTCTCGTTCTGCGGAACGCGTGAGCTGCTTGAGTCGCTTTTCGTCCTGACTGGACAATTCGCCAAGCTCAGCCTTCAATTGGTTGAGCTTGATAAGTTCAATGTTGCTGTCGTTGATGCGAACCTGCTCGTGCAGAGAAAGAAATCCGACTGGAGATTCAACATCCTCTCGCGACTTCGCAGTCACACGGACCGTCTTGAGACCAGTTCTGTGGATACGTTCACACAACTGATCAACAGCAACGTTCGAGGGCGCACAAACCAGGACTTGACCACCGTTGATCTTGGCAAGGTGATAGATAATCGTAGCCGAGGTGACGGTTTTACCCGTTCCGGGCGGTCCTTGAATAAGACTCAAAGGCCTCTGAAGCACGCTTTTAACCGCATTGATCTGGCTGTTGTTGAGCTCTGGGAGTCCCGGAACACTGAACTTCTTGGGCATCTGGGTCTTCATAGGCGCAGCTGCAACTTCGTGTCCAAGGAGGCGGTGAAAGATATAACCAGAGACACTCATCTCATCGACAGCAAAAGTCTTCATAGCGAGCTGCATGCGATCAAAAGAGGTAGATTTCCAAACGTAGTCAGCCGTGAAGTTGTGCGTGCATTCGGTAGGCACGGACTTGTGGTCACCCTTGGCCCGCAGTTCGATAGTCACTTCATCAGACTGGTTGTTCGGGATCTTGATGACATATCCAACACCTTCCCACTTCGGACGCAATTCACCGCTATACTTCAAGCGCATCTCATCACCGACAGCCAATTTCACATCACCGAGTTCGAGTTTGGGCAAGATAAAACTGGCTAGGTGTTTGTTGTTAAGACCGAGGTCCCAGCGCACAATCAATCCATCTTGAGACTGAGACTCCTTCAGTTTCCGGTCGTAGTCTGCTTCAATTTTGACTAGCGGCCCGAAGATATTCTGATACTGGAAAGCATCGTCGTAACGCAATAGAACAGGTGCGGGCTCATCGTCCACGGCTGTGGCTTTTTCCAAATCCGAGAAGGTCGCCTGAGAGTTTTCCTTCCACATCTCTTCCAATTTAGCAATCAACTGCGGGCTAAGGTGGCGTGCGCGAAGCTGCTCCTGGTCGGATGGAGCAGCCACAAGCCAGGGAAGAAACGAGCGATCTTCGATCAAAGGCTGCCACCGAGAAGTATCCCAGTTCATATCTTTGGAGGAAGGCATGGCGGCACATGGCTGACGGCACAACAGGACAACAACGGTGTCGGACTTGGCTGGAATGAAACCGAGGAGGAAAACATTCTTGGTGCCGCAGTTGTAACACTCGAGGATGGTATCGCCGAGCGATGAGGCGGGGTGCAATTGGACCTCCTTGTGACGAGCTCGAACGAGATGATTGACAATATGAGAAGATGATGTGTTACCACGAGCACTGCAGAACCATTTGCTGCAAGCCAGGCACTTCACGACGCTGCTCGGATTGTGAATACCGCAATACCTGCAAGCTCATATTAGCAAAGAGGGGAGCTATGAGGGGCGGTCTTTTAAGACACGTACGAGCACGCATGCGGTGGAAGCTCTTTCTCCTCATCGAAGTGTCCTTCGTTATTCTTACGCTCCGCGACAGTAGCACTGGCGGTGCTTTCAGCATCATCATCTCCTAGGTGGTCGGAACCCTCGTCGTCGTCATCATGTCTCCGGGGACGGAATTGATGAGACTCATCGAGGTCTGCAGCAATCCTCTCATCGACCGGTGCAGCCATAGCTGGCGTTTGGTGTTAAGAATCGCTGATAGAGGTCGTAGACGCAGTGATATGTGTGGGCGCAGGATAGCAAATGTATAAGAAGCGAAAGATACCTTTCGGCCGCCGCAGATCGGAAGGTGATACAAGAACGGCGGGTTGTAGGGATTAAATGAGTGCAGCGGACAAGCCCGTCGTCTGTGGCACTACAAAAGTCCGCGAGTCAGCTTGTTCTTAATAATCTCGACTCCCAACTTGTCAGTGTGTGTCACGGTAGAGGGGCAAAAGAGAGAGGGAAGTGAGAAGAGAAGAGGTGCAGTGGTCTTAGCGAAGCGGAATTCACTTGCGCATAACACAGGGGAGTCAAACCTTCAGTCACAGCGAGTTCCTGCCGCCACTGAGTTTACTTGACAGGAAAGTGTATCGGCTTGCCCTCTTAGACCAGGCGTAATGTTGTCAAGCGGAGGACTAAGTGGCGGGTGGTATGCGATCGGGCTCGATCAAGTTATCGGCGATTGTTTGCCGCCAAATTCCACAGTCCGGTGGCCAAGGCGGACCAGAGCGGCAATTTAGGAAAGAAAAAAAGATGGGCGGCATGCCGCATTCGATCATTCGATAACTTATCCGATCTTTGTATCAGAACCCCAAATACAGGCTGGACACTCAAGATGTTGGTACGTTTGTGCTCTTTTTTCGAGCTGCTGAGTTACTTGCGACTTCATATCTAGCATACTGACATACTTCACCTCCAGCGCCGTCAAGCCCGTGAGCGACGAGATTATCTCTACCGGAGAGCTCTAACCCTCCGCGATGCCTCTATCGCCGAAAAGCGAGCTCAACTGAAGGCGTCGCTGGCCTCCGGCAAACCCCTCGATCCCTCTATCGCCAATGACAAATCCCTGCGCGAAGACTACAAATACGATGAATCGCTAGACAGTGCAGACAAGGACGCCGACAAAGTGGACTTGGACGACGAATATGCGCTCACCTCGGGTATCGCCGACCCTCGCCCTATTGTCACAACTTCTCGCAGCCCTTCTGTCCGCCTCGGTACCTTCGCCAAAGAAATCCGTCTGCTCCTGCCCACCGCGATCCGTCTGAACCGTGGTAATCTCGTCCTGCCCGATCTCGTCTCGAGCGCGACCGCCGCAGCGCTGACCGACATGATCCTCCTGCACGAACACCGTGGTACGCCTACGGCGATGACCATCTCCCACCTGCCACACGGCCCCACGGCCAGCTTCTCCCTTCACAATGTCGTTCTCCGTGCCGATATCCCCGACGCGGCTCGCGGAACCGTCTCCGAGAGCTACCCGCATCTCGTCTTCGAGGGGTTTACAACCAAGCTGGGTCTCCGTGTGGTGCAAATCCTGAAGCACCTGTTCCCGCCCCGCGAGGATGGCAAGGTTGGCAATCGGGTCGTCAGCTTCGTGAATAAGGAGGACAGTATCGAGGTGCGACACCACGTTTTCGTCAAGACCGGATATCGGGATGTGGAGCTGGCGGAAGTTGGCCCTCGCATGACCATGAGGCTGTTCGAGATCCGTGGAGGCTCCCTGGAGAAGGGATCTAGCGGTGATGTGGAATGGGCCCTCACGCAATACACGAGGACAAGCAAGAAGAAGGATTATCTCTGAGCATGAGGATCGGTCAGCTAGCATTTTCGCTGTCAAGCACGAAAGGCTACAGGAAAAGTTTGATTTGGCGCAAAGAGGTGTTAGAAGGAGCTTCCTGGTCGTATGTTCGCACCGTTGGCATTTTAGGTCGCTATTTGTATACCCATCTGAAAGAACATAAATCATCTTCATCATCTCTTTTTTTTTGGCCCAGTGTAATAATTCGGTGAGGCGCTCACTGATTCGGCAGCATATATAACTGTAGTTACATGGGTGCCTTTTTAGGGCAAACTGCAATATGATCACCAATTCTGCAATCAAAGCCCACCCAGCGCACCGCTTCTCTCCATTGCATCTAGCACCACTTAGAACTGAGTTGACCTAGCCGGGAGTAAGCTCCCCAGTGGTATTCAGACTATAGTCAATGCCTGCGACCATTATGTTCTGCTCGATTTCCAGTGCCCAGAGCAATGCCTTGCGCCTATCAAACCAAGCTGGCCCCACCTGCTGTTTCGACTTCATGCCCCTGGTCTTCGACAGCGGTATGAGAATGAAGGTACTGGGATAATATGCTCTGGCCGTCTTCAAAGAAATACCACCCCTTGTCCGCAGGCAGCGGATTGCCTTCCTTGTCCATCTTCGGAGGAGGCGCAACCCCATTCGACCGATCAGCCCAGGCTACTCCGGTCTTACTCATGAACTTTGCCTCGAATGCATCCATAGCTATCTTCAAACTAGTTCCCAGAGGTGTCAACATCTGGGCACAAGTTGCTCCGGTGCGACTGTATTCCATGCGCGTAGCGTAAACGTGTGGCTCGGCCTTGGATTCGTATACCTAAAGCAGGTAGGGTCACACATTCTCAGCTTCCTTGCTCGCGAATCTCATTGTTGATAAAGCAGTTCTCATGGTGGTAACAAAAAATGACTGAAGATTCGTAGATAGACCGACTGACCTTGAGGCGGATCTTCTCTCTCGACCTTCTACAGGCCATGAACCGCACCAGAGGTATATCGTACTTGATCCCTGTTGTTTCGCCCACGTAGATGCAATACTTAGCTGTGAGTCCAGTCGAGCGTTAGTACCCTGATAGGCTTCTGCCACGACATCCGTCTACCATCACCTGATGATATATAGTATATTCCACCCACCCGCAGCGGCTCCAGCCTTGAATTTGGCCGTCGCCTTTCCGAAAGGGTCTGGATTCTTGATCCTTCCTATCTCACCATCAGTGGCTTGGAACAAGATGACGACTCGCGAGGAGAAAAGATGAGGGCATACCTGCGGGTTTCTTCGCGGCACCAGCCTTCCGCGTTGTGGCCGCTGCAGCGTCTACCGACTTTGTGGTCCGAGACGCCTCTCGAGCTGGTTTCCTTTTCCGTTTCTCCTCGCCCTTTAAAATCGTTTCCAGGAGGTATTCATTCGCCCGTTTTGGCTTCTTGTCCTTGGCGAGCAAGGAATCTTCCAGCCAGTCGAAGGTGACGATCTTGATGTTTTTCAGCGCCTTGGCTTCGCGGACTGGTCAAACATTAGAGACAGCAGTTGCGTTAAGTGCTAGGAGCAAGAGGTGCACTGTACCTGGCGCGATATTCTTCTTATACGCCTCGAGAGTCGTGATGAGATGAGTCACTTGCGGGGTGATAGTCGAATGGTATTCGCCTCCGTTGGCGCGGATCCATTGCGGGATTTTGTCTCCGTCTTTGGGAAATTTGCCCGCTGAGCTGGCGTGGATCTTGTGGAATGTCTTGCCCATGATTTCGGGCTGTTTGAGGTGTTGTGGGTGGAAGGAGTTAGGATGGGAGGGTTCAGTGCATCAGAGGCAGGAACATGAAGGAGATAGCAAAGTGAAGTTATATTGGCTCTCTGGTGATTTGAAAGCAGAGGAGAGTATGTAAATGAGGAGAAAGAAGAGGAGAAATATCAACCAGGAGATCAATGAGTAGGATATTGAAGTGGGAGGTAGAGATAAATCAAGACTATATGAGTAGAGATCTGGGTATGGTTGGCCCTAAGTTCGACCATCAGGCAATTACGATGTGGCCAAGGCCCGAGAGGATATTGTCAGAACCCGAAGATTGAGATAAACCTCACAAGATGGTGATGTATGCATGTGAAGAAGATAAATAATTCATTAACATGGATATAGAGTAGGGGTAAGCACGTATATTCAACCCAAGTCAAAGGTTGCCCTTTTCCATTCCATGTAATGGAAAGACAGTGACAAAAGGTGAACAGTTAATTTGAGAATCAATTGTTATGAGGTGACAGCTATGTGAATATATTTAATCACAACCAGAACACCGCTGGTGTCCTATTGCCAAGAGTATACGAATTGAAATGACCCGGAAGTAAGAATGATATTGATGTGAACCAATTGGTTGTCTCATAGTATAAATATATTATAGTGACCAGACCAGATCATGCATGAAGGTTCTTGACAGCCTTAACAAAGGCGCGGATCTTTTCCAGATCCTGTGCGCCGTCGGACTCGATGCCAGAGCTGACGTCCACGCCCACCACCTTAGCGCTGGACTTGCCGAGCCTTTGGATCGTCTCAACGACATTTGTAGGATCCAGACCTCCAGCAAGAATGACACGTAGACCGCTGTCGCTCTCCAAAACTCGCTCGACACGTAATTGATCCAAGAGCTCACCAGATCCACCAGCTCCAGAGTCTAGTAGGGGCAACGTGTGGTAAGATCTCCGGGCAATTGCGGGCTCGTCGAGACCAAATTTGCGAATAACAGGGACGGGAATTGACCTAGCCCACTCGAGCGGCTCAGAGCCGTGCAATTGAACGACATCAAGTTCCAGCTTCTGTTGCTGAGACAAGATGTACTCTAATGGCTGGTTTTGGAATACACCCACGAGCAGAGCCCGGTTGGGATGACGCAAAATCGAAGCAGAGTGATCAAAGTAGTCCACAGCTGCTGCGTCAGGTGTTTGGCTGGACTGGCTGGCGGGCTTAGGTGTGGTCTTGACAACCTGTGAGATCCGCAATGCAACGTCATCCGGAACAAGTCGTTTCCTTCCTTGTACCATAATAATACCAATTAGATCAGCGCCAGCCTCGATGGCGGCCTTTGCCGCTTCCTCAGATCGCGTGCCACAGATCTTCACAAGTGGAGAGCTCTGGATCTTAGCCTCAACGCTCTTATCACTGCCACCGAGCAATTCTGCAACAAATGCAGACGTGTCCGCCGCTCGCATCAAAGCCTCACCGACCAGGATCGCTTTGACGCCGTCTTTCTTGTAAGCTTCCACGTCTTTAGGCCCAGAAATGCCACTCAGCGCGCAGACAATGGTGCTGGAAGGAACTTGGTCCATCAGTCGGCTTGTGGTTCCGAGATCGACCTCAAAGCTAGTCAGGTCACGGTTGTTGACACCAATGACCTGCGCTCCCAAATCCACTGCAATCTTCATCTCCTCCGGGTTGTTGACTTCAACTAGTGGTTCCATTCCGAGACTGCGGGAATATTTGTACAGTTTTGTAAGAAGCTCGGTACTGAGCATCTTCACAATGAGCAAAACTGTATCGGCACCAGCCAATCGCGCTTCCAAAATCTGGTATTCGTCAAAGACAAATTCTTTGCGAAGGATAGCAGGCCTGTTGGTGAAGCCTTCCAGGCTTTGACGAACAGCGCGCAAGTCATCAATGCTGCCCTTGAACCATTCAGGCTCGGTAAGGACGGAAATGACACTGGCTCCAGCCTTCGCGTATTGCCGAGCCTGGGCTGGCGCACATGCATGCTCGGCAATCATGCCTTTGGAAGGAGAAGCCCGCTTAATCTCCGCCATGAGGGACAGATGATAAGGGGATTTTCTAAGGCGGTCGGGGAAGGACACCTGAGGGGGGGCAAGGTTGAGGTCGTAAGCAGCTTGCAAGTCGGTTGGCCGCTGCGAAGGAATAGTCTTCTGCACAGCCACGGCAGCTTTGCGGTGGTCATAGATCTTGTCAAGGATAGACTTCTTCTTATCGGTCTTCGGGGCGGCAGCCGAAGGCGCAGAGGAAACCACGGTCTTGTGCTCATTGAAGTGCTTCCCATTTCCTTCCCAGGTGCCTGCCGTAAGCTTCAGGAAATTTCTGAACATAGTTCGTCCATTCTCCGTAAGAATACTTTCAGGGTGGAACTGAACACCCTCGATAGCGAATTGCTTGTGTCGCACGCCCATGATAATGGTCTTGTCGTTGGCATTGTCGTTGGCCAGATGCACGTAAGAGGAGACCTCCAGGCAGTCAGGAACAGTCGAATGAGTTCCAGCCAGAGAGTGGTACCGGGTGACATCGAGCTTAGCAGGCAACCCTTCGTAGCAGCCTTTGCCATCGTGCTTCAGAGGGGATGTCTTGCCATGCAAAATCTCGCCGGTAACGTCGACTTTTCCTCCAAAGCAAGTGATCATACATTGCTGGCCCATGCACACTCCGAAAATGGGGATCTTGCCGCCGAAGTGCTTGATTGCAGCGATACTTATACCGGCATCGGTCTCGGGGTGGCCAGGACCCGGGCTGATCACGAGCTGCGTCGGGTTTTTGGCGATAAGTTCCTCGATAGTGATTTGATCGTTACGGTAGACATTCACAGTCGCACCTTCGAGAACCAGGTACTGATAGACATTCCAAGTGAAGGAGTCATAGTTGTCGATAAGGATGACATTCGACGCGCTGTTGAGTTGGGCAGCCTGGGTAGGATGGTGGGGGGAATGATCAACGAGATCGGAGCTCGCCATGTTCGCTATATCTGGATTGAGAGAGTGGAAGACAGATTAGAATGAATGGAAAGATCAAATGAAGACAACACAGAGGAAGAAAGAACAGAGAGAGATCTAGGACCAACTCACCTCCCAGAGTTGACGAAACCCTCCGAGCAGTGTTGCGAGAGAACGAAGTGAGTTGTTGTGTAACCGCAAGCAATCGCACATCCCCTTCATTGACTCAGTCCAACAAATGCCGCCGCCGCCTCCGCCAGCGGGAATGGGTGGATCGAGCTGCTTGTCCCGTTTAGGATTAGTGGATTCAAACCATGCAAAACCAAATCAGTTGTTGCAAGAATCCCTCTCACCGCCCAACACTAGACCCAGATGGGCAATCATTGTTGACCTCAGGCTTGCAGGCTAGACTCCGTTCGGGTTGAATATTCTGGAGATTCCCGCCGTGAGCTGTTGAGCTCTGTGTTTGTCCCTCCCCGTTGCTCTGTCCATCCCCGTGTCTTTCTCCTTTGACTCGGTCGGACGGCGTCTTTTCTTTCCCTTGCCTGTTTGAATCCTATAATGATATAGTTGTCCCGCCAATGGCTCCCCTCCCGGAAGCCTTCTTCCCGTCCCTGGACAAGTGCTTCTCCGGGGACGTTCAGCTTCTGTACGCGCCTTCAACATTGAACACATCTGACATGACAGCAGATACTAATCCTGTTTGCGCGCTTAGGTCCTGGAAGCAAGCCTTCCTATACACATGCAATCATGCCAGCATAGATGACGATGCGGAGCAATTACAGGCCTTTCTATCGCATCCCGACAGCGTCCAGATCCTCTCGAATTGCTTGAACGGGTTTCCTTCCCCATCGTCGAAATCTAAGACGGACTTCGAATCTAAAACAGCAGCCATCCATGCCGAGACTAATGCGCAGTCGTCGTACGACCTCAAGGAGATCAAAGCGGACGCTCTCTGGCTCAGCGAGAAAGCTGGGATCGACGAAATCAACGCGCTTCGGATCACCGTGTTGGAATGGCAACACCGACCTGCTACACGCCTCTTGACTCGCTTCGCCGGAGAGGAAACAACAAGTTTACAAAGTGCAACAGGGGCCGACAATCTGCGCGCGTCCCTCGCAGGTCCTGCTCTGGCGGAAATTCTCAATCGCAAGATCCTGACGAATGATGATTCTGCCGACTTTCTTTCCGAGAAAAGCAGGCGCTTGCGGCTGCGTAGTCTCTATCTCTCCGAACGAAGCCACGTTATCAAGACATCCCGCAAACTTCTAGGCTTTTTCCATCTCAGCAAAGTCGAGGTCGGCACCACCCAGCGAAGCGATTTGTGCCGTTTAGGCGCCAAGATTTTCGAAGACAAACTCAAAGGAGGAAATTGGCACGCATTCAGTGAAAGCTGTATTGAAGCTGTTCGCAGTCGACTGACGTCTCTGGCGGAAGATGGTGGGTGGCTGAGCGTCACGGAGAGTAGCCAGCAAGTGGAAGACCTGCGGACAACGACTCTCGTTGAGGAAATCCTTCATATCGTGCAGATATTATTTTACCAACTCCAGGCCTCCACGGAGATTCCATCCGCCAAGCTCGTGCTCTCTTGGCTCAAGCTGATGGTTGAGTATAGCTTTTTAGAGCCCCTTGTCATTGTGAGTTTCTTTGTGCGCCTCAGAAATCAGACATGTACTGACTGGTTGAAGCCATGCCAGGATCCCCTGGAAGTGTTGGTGCCTCTTCAGGGCTTTGTCTCTCTAACCACTATAGCACTTCTTAAGCTCCAGTTGTCGATTCCTTCACTCATGAACAGGACGTTCACGAAGGGCAAGAACCCCGAATCGTCTAAAACTCCTTATTTCTTGGGCAAGGAGGAGCTCGGCCAAATCCACGAAATGTTCCTCTCTGAAGGAATTGAATGCAAGACTGCTAATCCGGCCGCATTCGCGTGGGGCATGATTTTACACACCATGCGAGAACTCGCATTCGAAGACAGGGAGACCCGCGAGCTAGAGCAATTTCATAGTGCGGTTGATTCCTTTCAGTCCAATACACCCGACTCAAATGTTGGCCGGTCATCCGAGTCTTCTCTGTATGAGGATTTACTTGATCGCGCACGGACATTGAACTTCACTATCGATGATTCCATTAATGCTTTGACCTCAGATGTCATGAAGGAAGTTGTCTTCGACACGATCGTCGCATTGGCGACTAAAGTCGGGTTGACATCCGCGGTCGATGATCAACTAACAGGCAATTGGATCAGAGTGGTGTTGCTAGACTTTCTTGGGGCTGCAGTGGTCTTCTTGGACTATTCTCCGGAGATCCTTGAAGCCGTCCTAGCGATCCTTGATGGGCCTGCAGCAGACCCTCAGTGGCTTTCAGACTCACAACCGCCTCTCTCCACAGATCCACGGCTACGGTTCGTCAAGGAGGATCGCTTGATGGACAAAATCTTCCGGCTCGCACGCTCGCGATTCCCATATGAAACAGTACCTTTCCTGAAGTTGTGCCGTGCTCTTGTGAGCAAAGATCTGGTCGATGAGGAAGGCCTTCCCTTGATTGTCGCGGAGCTGGAGAACATGGGGTCATTTACTCAAGCCGTACCTGAAGGTTTCCACGGTTATCAAACAGTGAGAGAGGATGAGAACGCGAATTTTGTCACCCTCGTCGAGCCGTTGCCGATGGTGTCTTCCACTCCTCGGAGGTGGATCGGCAGCCGTGATATGGGCAATGCTTTGGTTGTCACCGCCTCTTCCCAGATTCCATCAACGGCAGTTGGCCAAGTCATCTCTGAGTCGAGGCCTGCAGTCATCGCGTGGCATCACGACTACTCCTGTTTGAGCTATCTCGGAAGCTGGTTGGAAGAATGGAATGAGCAAGGTGGTTTCGCAGCAGGCTATGGGGATGATTCCGTTGCGGATTCCATCGGACTTCTTGCCGACCTCATGGTAGCTGCTAAGGATGCGCAGGCACAGAATGGAGATAGGTCTGGCGCCAAGCGAATCCTAGAACTGGCGAGTGACGGTCTTTCTCACCAGGGCGATATCATATCCTTGATATTTGAGATTTTCGAAAGGAACCTTCCACTTGTTGGCTCAAGAACAGGCTTGGATACTGTACTTGAGAGCACGATTGCCTGTTTACGGTTCATTCATGCCCTGTTAGAGGTTCTCCCAGGCAGAGTCTGGCCATTCCTCTCCCGTAGTGGCTTACTGGGCACCGACGGAAAAGGTGGCGTTATGACGACCATCATATCTGCTGCGGAGGTAACAACGGGAAACTACCCTTTCCTGTTGGGCTGTGTACGGTTGTTTGATGCTGTTGTCGACGATGCAGCCTCTCGCGCCGTCTTGAGACGGAATCCCAATGGCGTCAATGGAAAGACAATGAATGCTGCAGACTGGACCGCGGGCGTTCCTTCACATATGATGCGCGGCATTCTACTTAACTTTGTGCGGACAATGGTCGACGCCTACAACAGTAATGGAAACTGGAGATTCAATGCGATCGAGCAAAGGTTTGCGGTAAACACCTCGCTTGCCAGGACATTCGAACGTATCCTCTATTACGCATACGGAACAAACGAGGATGAAAAACTGGACTTGAAGGCTACTGGTGTCTTCTCATCCTCCGCAACATTCTTGCTGGAGGTGATGCGTCCTGAGGCGACTGCTGAGCTGCCGTTCAACTGCATTCTACGCCTGATTCTCGATGGGTTACAGGCTCCTTCTACTCTACACCTTCGTTACTTGGCGCTCATTCAGAAGCAGGTGCTAGAGACATTAGATCTTTCCCTCAGGCTGTTGCAGGCAGCACGGTGCCTGAATCTTACCCCATCGCTTCTCGAAGAGCAGCTTTTCAAGGCTACCCCTGCTCTGGTGAAGTTGTATGCTTTGGATGACGCCTATCGTTTCCCGATCATCTCAATCTTAGAGATCCTCATATCGGGCGCCGCTTCGGATCCCGCGAAGGAACCACCATCCCTGGTCGGTCACCTTGGTCCCGAGTCAGCCTGCCTCTTTCTCGACATTATATCCCAATTCGATAAACCTCTCAATGACCAGCGCCTCCAATTGGCAATCTGGCAATTCCTGTCCACCATCATAAGCAAGCGTCAACCATGGCTTGCTGTTTACATACTAACGGGGACGTCGCCGCGCCAATCGCTGAAGAAGAATGACAAGCAGAAGGAGGTTGCTATGAGAGGAGGTCCTTTCTTGCAGATCGCTCTTGACACTCTTGCGAGGATAGAGCAGACTGACCTTCAATTAGCACTCTCGCTACTGGCTTTTGTTTCGCATGCGCAGGAGAATTGGCCATGGGCGACACCCGAGCTCAAGAAACACCCACAATTCTTCACCAGTATTGTCAACTATGTCTCGAAGCTGAAGATCTCGTCTCTGTCAGCGACTGACCAGGTGTTCGCTACTCGGATAGCGGCCGTGGTCGCGGATCTCTGCGGCGTCTATCTGCATGCGGCGAAGGACATGCAGGATAAGGGCTTCTACAAGACCATGATTCCCCTTGTATCTTGGTTCTCCAAAGATGCGGTGGACGTATCTGCGTACAACGCCTCGCTACATGCGAATCTCAAGAAGAACTTCGAAATGAGATACCCTGGGTGCAAACTCGCCGACTTCAAGAGGTCCCCGCTGCAAACCCGATCTCTGGGACCAGCTTACTTCTATGACGTTGAATTAGGCCAGAAGCTTCTCTCATACGACTTTGCCTGGACAGGGACTCGGAACCAAGGGTTTGCCGAGGAGTTCCAGCGCGCCAACCTCAACTTGTCACTGGTTGAGGCGCAAGTGGTTTGTGCTCCTCTAATTTCATGAAGGAAGAAAGTTTGCTAACCGGAAACCTTTGCAGAGTCTTCTCTACAGCTGGAAGTTCTTTGCCATCGAGCATTGCGAGGACTTCATGGCGGATCGCGAAGTGCAGAAGTCGATGGCCCTGGTCGTACAGAGCTGCCTGGAAGCCAACACGAGAGGCGTTCCTCAGGAGGCTATCTTTGAACGCATACAGCAAACCCGAGCGGAGTTTGCCCAGGCCCTGCTTCAACGCCTGGTTACCGTTGGCGCCAAGGGAGCCGAGGTGTTCGGTCTTCTCAAGGTCGTATGGGATGCATTGCGATCTCGCCGTACTTCTTACGAAGAAGCTATCATCAATGACGACACGGAGTATTACCGCTTATTGTTGAACGTCCTCTTCCTTGCACTGCAGTTCCACCTCGATACCCCTGCTCGGGCCGCACCGGAAACTTTGACCAAGAAGGCGGAAGTCTCCTCTGACCTGGGAGTCGTGGTTGAAGTTGTCAAGGTTGTTGTTGCGCAAGGCTTCAAGTCCTTAGTGACTTATCTCCACGAGCAACCCGAAAAATGTACGCCCAAGGACTTTGCGCTCCTCACCGCGATTTTGCAGAGTGCCTTGCAGGTGAAGAACGTCGATCGCTTGTTCGAACACATCGTCTACCACATTGCCGATAACGACACAGCACGACTTGCAACTTCGTTGTTCTCATGGGCTGATCAGCGGACTGTGGCTGGCGACCCTGTGTACGGCGAGCTGAGCATGTCCTTGCTGGTCAAGCTGTCCACTATCCCTATGCTAGCTGAGCATCTAGCCGTTGAGACGGTCCTCGCACGGATCTCCACGAGCCGACTCTCGACCTTCATGCGCCAGAGCAAGGGATTCGGCCCATTCGACCCAGTGCCCCGACTCTATTCCATCTGGACCGGTGGCATCCTTCCCCTGTGCCTGAACCTCCTCTACCATGTGATGCGCACGGCGCCGGAAGTGGCCGGGTTCCTCAACCAGTTCGAAGGCCAATTGACCCGCTCGGCCGAATCGTTCGCCGCAACCCGCGCGGTCAGCGCTTCCGGGGTCGCTTCCACCCGGCGACTCACTCTCAGCATGGTCTCGGAAGCGTACTCCCTTGCGCTGATCTCGTTCATCCTGACCCGGTTCCGTCAAGCCGGCGCCAGCATCGGCGTGGACGCCCAGGCGATCAAGGAACTGAAATGGGACAAGGCACAGGTCACGGAGGACATCGAGGAGCTGCTCGAGCGCAAGCAGAGCCTCCGAGCGCGGATCGTGGCCACCAGTGACAAGGAGCTGGAGCTGGCGCGTCAGAAACCGGTCGATGCCGCCTCGGGGGCCGAGAACCGGCTGGAGGAGAAGATCACGAGTGAGCTGAAGGCAACATTGGTATGCCTTGGTGGGGATGAGGCGTGAGCTTCTTTCCCCTGAAGAATGGCGTTTGTTTAGAATTCCAAACCAGACAAAGATTTTTTTGCTCCCTTCTGTGAGGACTGTTCTATATGTCGTACTTATGACCTTTTATTATTTTCCATCTGGTGAAGCGAATTCAAGGGGATACATTTTTGTTTAGGAAGAAATCCATTGCATAGGGGGTCTGCTATTGTCTTTCCAGGTAGTATTCGGATCAAATATGTACAGTACTGTACTGTGGCTAGGTTGTAGTTTACTTGTTGTATGAGTAGTATGCACAGAGGCAAGTACTGTACAGTATGCAACTTCGTCACCCTCCCAAACCACCCACCCACTCTACCCAGACTCAATCATCCAAACATGAATGAATGTTTGCTTTCACTGGGTCCCACTGTGCCAGATAGTGGCACTCTGTACGGAGTAGGGAGCAAGCAGTCCAGTCCATGATTGATTGTCTCCGTCTGATGCCGATCCCCCGCAACCACTCCTCATCCCCTCCCATCAAATCAATCAATGAAGAAACAACCACGCCATCCATCCACCCGACCCCCAAAAAGAAGAACCTCGGCCCCCTCCAAACCAAGGAAGCTAACCGAGCACCCGAGCCAGAATGCGGGGAGTTTGTGTGCGCGCGCGCGCGTGTGTGTGTGTCAACACCACCTAGACCACCTACGGAGTACCTACCCAGTAAAAGAGAGAGCAGAGCGAAAGCGACAGGGAAAGCGGAAAAGCCGAGCCGACATGCACACTCACTGCACGAGAACTTATCCAATCAATCCATCCGCAGCAACTGCCTCTTTCCCGCAAACCTCGGGATTTAACCTATTATCCAGGTATCCAATCAGCCAGGGACTAAGCTGGGTTGATCCCGGTGTGATGGGTTTTACGAGGAGGGAGGGGGGGTTGCGTGTCGGCGTATCGGCGTGTCGATTGGGGCCGGGAAAACCCCTGCTCACTGCTACTGCCGGTTTCCATTGGAGAAAGGATTGGATTCGTTCCGGGGGAAGTGTGCAGTGATCTATCTTATACTTATACATACTCACCGCTGCAAGAGGACGGACGTCGTCCGCCCTGCTAGCTGGTTGTGCTCGTATAGTAGGGCTTTGACTGAGCTGGTATGCGTGAACAACCAGAATAATGGGTGAGGGGGGGAGGAGAGGGGAGAGAACGACCAGCGGATCATAACGTTACTATGCATGGCCATGGCATGGCACGCATGCACGATAGATGGATGGATGATGGATGGATGGGCCGCCGCCGCCGCCCGCGGTGTTGGGCCGCGCCTGTGCTTCCCTCTACTCTCCCCTCTTCCCTCTCTTCCCTTCGGCGTGGACATTTGGACTAGACTGGCGGATTGATTGATTGATTGATTGATTGATCGATTGACGGGTTGACTGATCAAAACTGGAAATTGACTTCGTTTGGATGATGGACTGGACTGGACTGGTCTGGTCTTAGTAGATTGGCATATTTATATCTTTCCATAGTATCCCATCCATCCCTTTTGCATGACTCGTGGTTTTCTTTATTATTTGTGGATGTGAGGTTCCCTGGGTGCAAGCACTGTACTGTACATCTGCGACTGCTTTATCCAGCGGTCTTGACTACGTACGATATTCTATAAAGCTTTTGTTGGATACATTACACCGATATACCCCCAGACCCCAGCAAGCATCTTATCCTATCCTATCAATTGTATGCCAGCCAGCCAGCCAGCCAGCCAGCCACTGGGATGCAATAACTTCCACCACCCTCTTCTTCTCAACCTCACTGCCCACTGCACCTTTTACCTCAACAAAAATGCCCTTCCAATCCCGCTGGTCCATCGACATCCCCAGCTGCCACCTCGCCACCCTCCTCTTCACCTCCCCAACCAACCCGCTCTCCCACACCCATCGATGTTTCCTCGACGCCGCCCGCCCGGACACCCACTACTTCACGGAGCACTCGTTCCGCCTCTGGAGCCAACGGCTCGCCGCGGGGCTCCGACACGCCGGGCTGCGGCGCGGGGACCGCGTGCTCCTGTTCTCAGGGAACGACCTGTTCTTCCCCGTCGTGCTCATGGGGATCATCATGGCGGGTGGGATCTTCACGGGGGCGAACCCCACCTTCGTGGCGCGGGAGCTGGAGTATCAGCTGCGGGACTCCGGGGCGACGTTTTTGATCTGTGCGCGGGGGAGTCTGGAGACCGGGCTGAAAGCTGCCCGGGGAGCGGGGTTGGGGTTGGATCGGGTGTTTGTGTTTGACAGTGCGGTTTTTGAGGAAGGTGATAATCTGCAGAGCAAGCTGGACGAGAGGCAGGGTTGTCGCTACTGGGGCGAGTTGATCGCCTCCGTCGAGGAAGGGAGTCGGTGGGCGTGGGACGATCTGATGACCCCCGGCGCGGCGGATGCGCAGACGCTGGCGCTGAATTACTCGAGCGGCACGACCGGTCGACCTAAGGGAGTCGAGATCACGCACAAGAACTACGTCGCCAATCTGCTGCAGTATAACTTCCTCTTCTACCTGTACCCGGATTGGGTGCAGCGGCTGGCGCGCGCGCGCTGGCTCTGTTTCCTCCCCATGTACCATGCCATGGCGCAGAATATCTTCATCGCCGCGGCGCTGCGGCGCGGCGTGCCCGTCTACATCATGCCCAAGTTCGATATGCTAAAAATGCTCGAGTACACGGAGAAGTTCCGGATCACGGACCTCATCCTCGTGCCCCCGGTGGTCGTGGCGTTGGCGAAGCACCCGGCCGTCCGCAGCGGTAGGTATGATCTGAGTAGCGTCGAGGGGGTCGCCAGTGGTGCGGCGCCCTTGGGCGCGGAGGTCTGCGAGCAGGTTGAGAAGCTCTGGGAGCCGGGCCGAATCACGGTCCGTCAAGGTTGGGGAATGACCGAGTGAGTTCTAGTCTTGCTGTGCTGGATGAGCAGGGCAAACGTGTGGCGAACGACCACCAGCTAACAGACACCCCTGTCGGGCTCGCCGTTAGGACGACATGTTCACTGTTGGGCTGGGACCCCACGACGAAGACACACCCAGCATCGGTAGGTGAGCTGAATGCGAACTGTGAAGCCAAGATCATGGCCGACGATGACCGGACGGAGCTGGGACCGAATCAGCGGGGTGAGCTGTGGGTTCGTGGGCAGAATATCATGAAAGGCTACTGGAGGAATCCGGCAGCAACCAAAGAAACCAAGACAGGAGACGGATGGTTGAAGACAGGCGATATTGCCTTCGTGGATGATCAAGGTCTGTTCCATGTGGTGGACCGGAAAAAGGTATGCTAGTGAGACAGACGGTGTTCCTGCTCGCCACCTGCGGCGGATCACGAACGGACACGCCGGTCCTGCATGTCTTGTTGCCTCTCTCTATCTGCGATGCTAACAGCCACTCCTGCGTTAGGAACTGATCAAAGTCAAGGGAAACCAAGTCGCGCCAGCTGAGCTAGAGGCGATATTGTTGGACCATCCTGCAGTGGCCGATGCTGCCGTCATTGGTGTACCAATGTATGTGGTTGAGAGGCGACCTTTTGACAGCAAGATGAAAAAGGCGAATTGCTTACACAACTTCTCAAATAGGAATGACGATGAGCGCCCTCGAGCATATATCGTGCTGAACTCCGGACAGAACGCCACCGACAGAGACATCTTGTCATTCATGAACGACAAGGTTTCGCCGTTCAAAAGAATCACCGGAGGAGTGGTGTTCATCGACGCCATCCCCAAGAATCCATCAGGGAAGATCCTGCGAAAGATGCTTCGTGAGCGTGCCGATGGAGAGATGCAGCCGACTGCAAGACTATAGATTTCTCTCTTCATTGTCCTTGTATTTGTCCTGTTCTTGCTTCCCCTATAAACACAGTAGAAAGCCTGTTTTCCACGCCCAGTCATTAGCCAGAGAAGCTATTGGAGAATACAGAGATCTCCAATAGTGGTTTCGTCTCATCTGTCCGGGGATATGGAACGCCTTCGTGGCTATACGGTAACGTAATCACTGATTCGTGACCCAATTATTTTGCGCTGTAGTAGGCAGCTAGATTTAGGCTTGCTCGCGAGCGGCAAGATGTAAGCTGGTATAAGATCAGTTTGGAAGGCGAGCATTGAATTGTTCAAGTGAGCAAGGGTATTGTGACCCAAGTAGCAAAACAAAAAAAAAAAGAAGATAAAGCGAGAGCACCAGTCAAGGCTACCCAGTTGAAAGGAACAACCGATCGATCGACAGAATGCATCTGAATGAGTGCGCCTGCCATTGGCTGTAGCTGGTGAGCTTATACCCGACAGCAGGAACTAGACATCACCTAGATCTGGCATGGAAGACGTGCCTGCAGTGCCTGCAGAAGCAGGCTGACCCATTCACCGCCACGTTGGGGCGGCGCGGGAGCCTCACACTTACCACCACAAACACAATTGTCGGTGCATATATCCACATCGATTAATTGTGATTATTGTAATTAATTAATAGTCGGGCAAGTTCCTCGTGGATGGGGAAATGGCGAGCTGAGGACTAGTCCAGAGTGCAAAGAGTCTCGACCTCCGCTGGGTTCCATGCACCCCTTGATCGCAAATTATTAGCCTAAGACCTAGATCTGGATCTGCGCCAACAGTCGATCGGTAGTCAAGGCGCAGCTGAGATGCACGGCAACATAACACAATGAAAGGACCCTTAAATGACCAAGCCATGCGAAGGCAGGAAAGGCGAGCAAAGAGGCGATAAGAAGATCACGAGACAGGGCTTCATGGATCCAAAGTAGACGACTGGTCGTAACTTTGCCGGGTCCTTCGCGGCGCCATTGACAGGGGTAATTCGAATCGAACAGTCTCAACCATCGTGTTGGGTCTCGCTCGCTTGGCTCGATTTTCCGCAAGTTCCCCGCCTCCGAGACTCTGCTAGAGAATCGAGGCACGAATCGAGGCTTACACGGTCCAGGATTCCAGGTAGCCTTATGGCGTTCTGACTGGGCCGCTTTCTCCCTTTAAGAATTAGCGGGTCTCCTAGCCGATGGCACAGAGTGGTGGCGCTTCCGCTGGGCAGCTGAACCTGCCTTGCTTCAGGACCTTCATCCCGACCTGTCTAGCTCCCTTGGTCCTATGATCGGGGTGCATCTATGGTTGGAGGTCATTCTCGTCGGTTGCGATCGGTTCGTAAGCTCTCGTGGCTGATGATGGCACAGCTGGACTGGAAGGGGCTAACCTCCCCCCTCTGTCATAGCCCACTCGAATAGTGCGCGTTAGTGAAGTAGACTGTCATTTCCATCAGATATGTCTCTAGTCTTCCTGTAGTGGAGTCCGCATATCTCCGTGGACATATAATTAAAAAAGGCGTGTTTCGTGCCATGCATGGGTTGCCCTAAGGCCGGATGTTATTGCTTTTTTTACCGTCTATATTGGTTGCGCCATGGTCCGGTCTCATTTATAAAGGCCGTCCGATATCTGCGAGAATCAAGATAAATCCAAGCATATCGTACTTTCGATCGTTCACCTTTTCTCCTGGTGCATCTGGATGCGACGCTTTTGCTTAGCCCGTCCTTATTTGTCTCCCTGCAGTGGCCCATCAGAATTGTATAGAAGCGACTACTTCGACCAAAGAAACCAACGTGGTACAGTACTTCACCCATCCCTCGTGCTCCATGACCTTCCAAACGATAATTTGGTCCAAATACTTACTGGGTGTGTAGTTCATTTTGCCCACAGCCTAACGAGCAGCTGGGATCCCATTGGCCGCCACAGGGAACTATAAACCCTAAGCCTCCTTGCAATGAGGTGCACGAATTTCAGGACGGCGATTCCGAAGAATATCCAGATAGCGTCGCTCGGAATCATCTATTTTGTTGCTTGCATAGTTTGCGCCCTAGTCCTTCTTCAGCGTATCCGGCGTCGACGGCTCAGGTACGCATCAGCAGAGAGGCAAATGGATCCGCTATCATCTTCGCTAGAGAAGGGAGGTGGCGACGGACCAAGCAGTCCAGTGGGCCAAGGCTACGGCGTTGCCTACCTGCAATATCCAATCTCTCACCACGCTAGCTCATTCCCTTCAGCTTGCGACGTTCTGCAGCCCTTGTCGCACTTGTCTCAATTGCCATCAAGTGGTTATCTGGCGGCGGTCTTAACTCGAGAGCGGAGCTCGTGGACGCCGCAACACTCGTATTCCGGCGATGAGCTTGCTCTACCAGCCCCCGGGAACGCCGATATGAACGAAATTTACAATTCCTCCACCAGTCAAGATGATCTCGGTGGCTTGTCTTCGGAGCGGTTGAATGGTGGCAGCATGGCCCCGAACGCTCCACCACGGACGGGTTCATCCCCGGTTGGGTGGCGTACCGAAAGCCACAGCCAGGAACCGCCGCTCAATGTTGCGGAGTCTAGCGGAACTCAACCGACGCGGAAATCCGAGCACGCAGTCCAATACATGCGCGATGCAGACGAGGAGGGAGTGCGGACCTGGAAACGGGTGGTGGTGGAGTACAGTTGATTTCTTGATAATGTGTGTGGTCTCTGTCGCTTAGTTGCCTGGATTTGCTTCTGAGGGGCCTTCTCCTTCTTCTTCGTCATGCTTCGGTTATTCTTCATTTCGAGATAGATACTATTCTCATCAGGGACCAGTTTCAAGCGCATGCCAGAAAGGCAAGCTCGAGGATTGGGTGGCATCTTTTAGTTCTTGATTTGTCAAAGGAGTTTTTAGTTTGTGGTTGATGATGATTGATGACTGAATGATAATCGGAAGTGTTTGTCAGAGATGGAAAGAGACTATCCGGGTCAGTAGAAGAAAAGGTGATAATAGCGATGAGAGATCAGCTGCTCCTGCAGTAGAAGCACTTGTGGCACGCTGTCCCATCTCTTCTGGCAGATCTGGAGCTGTACAACACAGAGATTCGCAATTGAGTCGCTTACAGACCCATCGAAGTATAGCTCTTGGGAGCCGCCTTGACCTCGCAGAAAGAGCAACGATGGAGACTCAGGGCGTCGTTAGCCAAGTGCAGTGTCTTCTTGCGATGAAGTGAAGGATTTAGTACGTACAGTACTTTCCTACCTTCCAATGCCCTTGGATATACTACACATCCTAAACTGGACTAGTGTGGCTCACATGGCAGGATAGCTCTCCCCCTGCTGAGTCATCTAAGCTCTCCGCCGCACCGCGAGATGGAAGATCCGTCGGGCATCCAAGCTCACTCACTCCCTGATTTCCAGATTCCAGCAGAGCCATCGGATCAAAAAAGCGCGAGGAACTGGCCAAGATGACAATCACGACCTACGATACCTCCCCGGATTCCTCCGACCTCGCCGCCCTAAATCTGTCGCGCCTGTTGGCACGGTTAGAATACAATCTGCTCTCTTCCGCGGCGGACTTGAGGCCACTCCGACAATCAGACTACCAGCGCAAGAGAGTAGGAGCGGTATGTGCATCCCACTGAACTTGTCTACCAGATCAGAACATCTTTCCATCTCATATGCACTGTTCGGAACTTTGTGAGGACGATCGAATGCGCAACGACTCAAGTCCGCATCCGGTTCACAATGCCCCCCTCCTCTCCGCTTGTCTCCACGGCCGAACATCATCACTGACCTGAGCAACCCCACTCCCCAGAACATAGACTACGCCCGCACTACCCTCCAGAGCCTCGAACGCAGCCTCCCCCAGACCAAGCCTCCCGATCACCGACAAACCCTCCAGACCAACCTCGCACAGCAACGCCTTGTCCTCAACCGCCTCCAGGACTTTCTAGACCAACTCACCGCCGAAGCGGAGACAAGCCGGGGTAGGAAGCAGCAACAACACGCCGCAGTGGCATTCAGCACTAGCACCCCCGCATCAACCCCCCACGCAGAAACCGAAGAAGACTCGGACTCGGATTCCGAACCCCTCGACGGGGAAGACCTCCTTGGAACCCCGGAAGATGGCAGCACCACCGACGAAGTCGTCGACGAGGACCGGGGCAATGACACCGTCGAAAACCAGCAACCACAGGCAGAACCACAGCCACCAACCCTCTCCTCCGCGCTCCCCACACCGACTGCCACAGAGACAGACTCCCCATTACCACCAACGACCACACCAGCACCAGCACCAGCACCAGCAACGACGACGACAACGACAACGACAACAACAACAACAACCCCACCCTCACAACCCTCCGCAACCCTCCGCAACCGCACCATCGCCACCACCGCCCCTCAATCCTCCTCAACCTCCTCAACCCTAACAGCAACCGGCACCTCACTACACCCAGCCCACCCATCATCATCATCCTCACCAACAAACCCCAACCCCACAAAAACAACAACAGAAGAAACCCTCGTATCGCACCGCGCGGAACAAGAAGACCTAACGACCTCGCTCCTCTCGCTCGCCTCGCAGCTCAAATCCTCCTCGCAGGCCTTCCACGCCTCGCTGGACGCCGAGAAATCCGTGCTGGCGCGCGCGGTCGACGGGCTCGACCGCACGACGACCAGCATGGAGTCCGCGGAGCGGCGCATGGGCACGCTGCGCCGGATGTCCGAGGGGAAAGGCTGGTGGGGGCGCATGATGCTGTACGCCTGGATCTTCGGGCTGTGGATCGTGGCGATTCTGATCGTCTATGTGGGGCCCAAGTTGAGGTTCTAGGATAGTTGTCTTCTCGCTAGCGTGGATTTGTTTTGTATGCATTAGCTGGGATATGGAATTTTTTTCGCTTACGTTCCGAACTCGATCTGTGCCCTAGCTTCTAGAAGAGAATAAAAAAGATCTTGCTCCGATGCTCCTAGCTAGCATGGCTTGAATCAGTCCAAGTGCCGAAAGTCGATAGCAACTAGATACGATGATACGTGCACATGCACATCCTGACTGATTCAACTCGCATGTATTGTAAGGTGTCCTACACTACACCTAGTGCACCAGCAGAGCCTGGACTTCCGACAGCCCTGGTTGCAAACGGCACCGACATGACAAATGAACAACCCCGCCCCCCCGCGTCGGCAAACACATATGTAGCCTGCATACCGCATACCAACGTTCATCCTCTCATACATACTACTAGCCCTCAAGACATTGGTTTCCCCAGACCAGATGAACAGCGTGATCTATGATTACACACAACGAGGTGGACCAGTTGCACCAAGACGTGATGGAATATCCAGCTTCAGATCAAGACACATGAAATTAAGAAACGGAATGAGAGTCCAGGGTAGCAGCGGTGAGATAAGATAGGAACGAACCAGAAATAGAAAACATGGGAATCCTATGGATCGATCAAAAACAAGGGAATAAAATGTAGAGAGAAGTTCAAACATGGACATAAGACACAGAATTCTAACAGCTTTGTAGAATCGATACAATCCACAGGAATCCTGCTGCTTCACAGTGAAGAGTTAAAAGGGGGAGGAGGCGGGAGGGAATAGATAGAGAAACAACTCCTGCTCTGTGTCATGGGATGGATATCGGTGATGCTGATAACAAAGAGCCGGCTAGATATCATTTCAGGACAAAGGAAAATAGAAACAGAAATTAGTAGTAATGGACAAGTGAATGTCTCAACGCCGGAATCTTTCGGGAGGGGTAAAAAACTGCAACATGGTATGACAAAGAGCAAAAAAGCACAGAATTACAAGTCACATAGCATACGGTCTAGATGCGAGTCCACTCTGCTCGATCAAGATAAACCGGTCATTAGATCAGACCACACAGTCTCAGGTTTTCTTGGATTATGATGTCTGGATAACAGTCAGCGTCTGGCCCTGCGTGGAACTTTCAGAGATGATGTGGGCTTACCATTTACTGCAGCCATGACGAAGCGAATCTGAGTGGTATCCGTAGCACACGTGAAGTGAGTGTAGATCTGCTTCTGCTCGGCCTGGTTCAATGAAACGAAGCGGTTGAGGATGTAGTCGCATGCGGCGGCGTAGTCTGCGCCTCCCTCGTAGTCGGGGAAGTAGTTCTTCATGGGGCTGACGGGCAGCTTCTCCTTGAAACGATCGATCTTGTTGAGGAAAAGAATGATAGAAGTCTTGACGAACCACCGCGAGTTGCAGATTGAGTCGAACAGAGTGAGCGCTTCTTGCATGCGGTTGACGGTCTCATCCTCGAACAACAGCTGGTCGTACTCGGAGATGGCAACCAGGAAAAGGATTGTCGTAACATTCTCAAAGCAGTGGATCCACTTCTTACGTTCGGACCGCTGACCACCAACGTCGAACATGCGATACGTGAGATCGCCGATGATGAACGTCGTCTCGGTAATACCGGTGGTCTTGACACGAGAGCGGAGGACATCCTGATCGGTGGGGAGGTAATCGGGCTGGGCGATGCGATCGATGGCATCGAAGTAGCTGTTCATTATGGTCAACAACAATTTAGCGGATTGAAAGCGACCGTGGTGAAAACTCACTATTTGGCGGAGTCGTTCAATTGGTATTCGCGGGACCTCTTGAAGCACTCCTGAACACCGGTGTCGCGCCACAGAGCGCCGATGGCGTTGCCAACCTCCGGAGGCAGGTTGTCACCCTCGATCTGAGCAGGCTGCATGAAGACGGTCTGCACGTGGTACTCGTTACGAGCATCCTCCAGAGGAAGCTCAAGGGATTCCATGGCCTCCAGAATGACACGCATCGACTGAACGGTGTTGCTGTAGATGATTTCCTTGAACGACTCTCGCTCATCCCGGGAGTAGCTGCCCTCGTGGATCAACTTCATCTGCTTGAGAATGGTCGACTTTCCGGACTCTCCGGCACCTAATCACGAGAACTGTTAACTCTCCGTCCAATGGAATACCCCGAAGCGGCAGTGGTCGAGAGGCGCGTACCGAGCAACAACATCTTGATCTCGTTTCTTTGCATCATCTTGTCCCGCTTGAGCTGATTCTCAATCTCCTCGTTGCGGGCCTTCCCCTCCTTGTCTTCAGTACTCATTCCACAACCCATTTTGGCGGCAATCAATGAAGGTGTAATTAATCAATAGGATGTCGTAAATGAACGGCGAAAGTTGAGCGAGGCGTTGGTGTTCGGGAACCTGTCAGCGACGATCGATGTCAGTCAAAGGCAATTCTCCGCGTCGGTGAAGTCAGAGCCCAGCGCGGACGTCGTCGGACACGGGAACGAGGCCGTGAAGCGCAGGCCAACCAGTGAGCCGGTAACATCGAAGTCAAAAGCCAAAGCAGATATTCGGAAGGTTAAGGTCCAACAGGGTAGAAGTTTCGCCGTCCAGCGACCGTGCTGACGCAAGGAGGTGCAGCTGACGCATCCAATGGATGACTTGCGGACAGGCATCTCATGTAGGGCGAGAAGAACGAGGGGAACGGCTTACTCTGCTCGAGAACTTGATCTGATGAATTCCCACAAGAAAAAAAGAGATGAATAGATCAAGTCGAAGATAGTATTACTCGAAGGTCGAAGCGGATGCGAAGGAACGGCGGCAAGGGGAAAAATCAGAGGTAAGCGCGAAGCTTTGAGGCTAGGTGGAAAGGAGGCGAAAGGAAGGTGGAACACTGGTACACCAGTTATGTCGGTTGTTGCAAAGGTACGTGTGTGTGTAGGAGCGAAGTTTCAAAGGTAATAAAAGGTGTGTCGAGAGAAAAGAGAAGCAGGTGATATCGGGTATCAACAAGTAGCTGCTTTGTGGTCAACCTACCCCAATCTACTTGTGAGAACTGGATGAACGGAGGGAGGGGGGAAGGAGGAGGAGGGGGGGTTGAGAATGCAGAAAGGAAGGGAAGGAAAATGGTGGAGGAAAGCGAGCGAGGCTGAAGGACGGGAGCGAGAAAGATTAAGCTCAGCCGGTAAGGGGGGAAGAGAGAGAGAGAGAGGGAGCGAGCGCCTGAGAGGATGAAGACCGAGACACTGGAGAGGGAGAGGGAGAGGGAGACTGAGGAACGTGAGTGCTGGAGCCAGAGGGAAAAGAGGCGAAAATTGGGCAAAGGAAAAAAAAGAGGGGCTAAATTAGGGAAAGGTCTGTAACTTTGCTTGTCGGTAAGATGGATACTCGCTGGATACCCGCTGGATACCTTCTTACAAGCCCCGAGTTAAGCGGGCAGGGGAAAGGAGGAAGAGGGGAAGGTTGAGGAACCTCGTGCTCGATTGGAGTCCGTCTCCGACTGAGACGATGAAGATAGAGAACTTTTCCTCCTTCTGGAACATCAGGAACACCAATTGACCCAGTGTGAAGGTTCAAACCATCAGCAAAATTGCATCAATAAAGGGGCAGTGGAGGTTTTGGTCTGGTATTGGCGATGGGCGAGTTCGAAGTCATTTTATCATTGGTTGTCGAGTTGAAAGAGGGTCCGGTGGTGCGGAGCCCGGGCTGACCAATCGTACTGCCCATCTCCCACCCTCCCCTTTTTTTTTTTTCCCGGCTGTGAAGGATCCATCAGCAGTGATGAATGAATGGCCTTAGCCATGAGGTTTCCACCGCCCGCTTGCCTTGCCCGCTCTTCACTTTCCTCGAGTACCTAATCTATGAGTTACCTACTAGATAAGGACAGTTTTATTTTGATCATGGGTAGCTCATGTGATATGCTCATGACTCGCGATGCTGCTCCATAAAGTACATGCCAACACTATATAGTACAGTACGTACATGCTCTACTCCATGGCTGCAGTATCTTGAAAAATCCCATTGAAGTTCTCATCAACTTAGTATCGGGACTGCTATCAGTCAAGTCAAGTAAGCGAAACATGCAGGACCAGTAGTGGCTTGGTCTGGAAGGCAAGCTACTGCATGGAAGTGTTCCTGGTGCTGCCGCTGGATGGCGTCTAAGACCTTAGTAGTCTACTACCTAAGTTCTCATGCATACGAAGTACAGTACGCACATTACTTACGCACATTACTAGTCGCCCATCGACCAAGGAAGAGCAACCGACTCATGAGACTTGACGAGACTACGGTAACTCACCCCCGGCCATTGTTGATTATTAACAATCAGATAGTCACCAAGTCGCATGGATTAATTTCCGGGTACCGCAGATCGACTGACCACGAGTGTTGGTCTCCAAATTCAAATACTACTAGGTAAGTAATCTTGACCAACATCTTTCAGTCCAATCTACTAGTACTTGTGCGTCGTCTCCCGGCAAGCAGCCATTCTATACAGATGCATATGCGGGTGTGGGTTCTCTCCATCTCTTCGCCGATACGGACTCCGTAGACTAACACTGTACATTGGAAAGAGACATGGCAGCAATCAGCAGGAGAGGGTAAGAATAGCCCGGTAGCTTAGTTGAAAGAGACCTCCGTTTCAAAAGGTGCCGCCACCCAGGAAGGGGGTGGGGATTTGGCACCACACTTTGCGCGCCCCGATCGCCAGGTACAGTCCAGAACCGTTGCGTTTGGACGGTTTCATTGTTGTGATTCACCCCTGGCTCTTCATCCCCTGGTGCATTGATGCATGACATCATGCAGTGCAAGTTTACGTATAGTTGTTGGCTGATGCTCAATGTTTTTGATAGATGCTGTGTGAACCCCTCAAGCAAGAGTGTTGCTAATAGTGGTACTCTGTATTTGAGGGCGCTTGATGGAATACGGAGGGGACGATTACTAGTCTCTCTTAGTGAGGTACCGTATGCTGTAAGCTCCACTCCCCAACTGCCCCGTCGATCGCTTCTCCGCACGAGGAGTTGAGAAGATGGGCGAGAAGGCATGATGCTGATTCCAGCCAGGCTTGGGTGAGCGAGACGCTCTCCTTCCCCAATAGATCGTCAGATGTTCCTTCCTCGCCTGATACATGTTTTGAAATGGCTTCAAGGTTTCGATCCAACCCAAGTTCTCAACCTGCTACGAGTGAGAGACAGTCAAACCATCATGTTCCATCCATGTTTCTGCTTTCCCAAGGAGAAGCGGAGCAACAATCCGAGCCAAGATGAATCTCCCGCCGAACCCTACTGGCACTGGCATCCATGGTTCGACCATGGACTAATAGACGACTAGTCACCTTCTTCGTCGTTCCAATTCAGTGTGTGGGACAATAATAGATCTGGTTTCTCCGGGTGCCAGAAGAATTGGACATTCTCGTCGCAAGCTGCGCGCTGTGATCGACCTTGCAACACCATGTTCAGGGTCTTGAATTAATCAATCAAGCTTCAAGGAAAAGGCATGTCTCAGTATGCGAATTCTCAATGATCCCAGTGCTTCGGGTACTCCGTACCTCTCTAGTCTAGGCATGGTCGTTCTCTTCAGCTCGTGGAGGGTGGCCAGACTATTGAATTGGTTTCCACTTGGCCTGGCTCAATGCGCTTGGCGCATCTTCTTCAAAGGGTAAGTCGGATTCTCCGATGCCTACCCATCTCTATCGATACACTATTGTGGGCTCAGTACGCAGGATTGAATGCTAGGATTGACCATCTTGTCCAAATTGTCAATGCTTACGATCAGCCTATCACTAAGATAGAATGACGCCTACTTAGTATGCTCGTATATCTACCAGCTTGCCCCGATCAGATCCATTCCGGGGATAAGCCGACGAACTGCCATGGTAGTGGTGCTTCTCAGCGAAACATTGAAGAGCCGCGCGATGACATGCTTCTCTCTCTGCCATATCTGCCATAGATGCCATATCTAAGCAAATATCATCGTTCTCTCTTTCCTTCTACTGTACATGGTCAACGCCATCTGAAATGGGCTTGAAAGTGCGGTCAGTCGGTTGCGCCGCATCACCGGAGGACAGCAGCCTCAGGCCATCTACCTACATACAGCCCAAAAACCCTTTCTAAGGTAGGGTTCCGATCCCAGATCGGCCATCGACTGGCGCCAATGCCGCCCGATCGCTGCGACATTCGCCTCTCTGGAATTTCACCATTCTTTCTCTATTCTCGACAACTGTCGTTTTTCCATTATACAAGAACAGCCCGTGTCGCTCGTTACCCGGCCTAGACCCATCATATCTAGCATTCACATAGATTGAAGAAGTCGCTCACAACCGAAGCCTCTTCCAAGATGCACGAGATGTCTCATATGGGCCCTCGGGGTAAGGGTCCTGGTCCTACGGGGAAATCCCTCGCTACCCCGATCTTCGCGCGCGCTCACTCAGACTGATGTGATATTCCCCAACGCTCTCTACAGCCTTCAACCACGAACAAAGTCAAGACACGGAAGCCGAATATGACCGTCTCCGCGACCTCGCGCGCCAGGAGGCTTCCAAGCGCAACTCATGCTTTCAACGGGTACTTTACCTTCTTCACCTTTGCCTAGATGATCTCGCTCGCTACCACCTGCACAACTTTCTGCGCCAATCCACTCTCCCCTTTAACTACAATCAGCCAAATGGAGACTGATCCCTGAGACTTGAAAAAAAAATCTAGTCCCAAGAAGCATACACCAGCGGCGACGGCGCCCGGGCCAAAGAACTCTCGGAACAAGGCAAAGCCCACGGGCGCAAGATGGAGGAGTACAATAAGCAGGCCTCCGAGTTCATCTTCCGCGAGAATAACGCCGAGGGGCGCGTCGCGCCGGATACCATCGATCTTCACGGGCAGTTTGTCGAGGAGGCCGAGGAAATCCTAGAGGAGAGGATCCGCTATGCGAGTAACCACGGGCAGACGCATTTACATGTGTAAGTGCGAATTGCCCCCCCCCACCGTCGCTTCTTCTCTCGGACGGTCTACCGGCATCGTGCTCGCCAACTTGGACATAAGGGAAAACATGAAGCTAAATCTTTCGTGTATTTCTAAAAACTTCCAGCATCGTCGGAAAGGGCAACCATTCCGCCAACCACGTGCAGAAGATCAAACCCCGCGTGGAACAGGTCTGTCGCGAACTCGGGCTACAGTATGCGACGGAGGAAAACGCCGGTCGCATCTACGTAAACTTAACCGGCGGACCCGCCGACATGTCCCAGGCGCCGGCGCATCACTACCAGCAACCCCACCACCAACAGCAGCAGCAGCAGCAGTACCCTGGTGGTGCTCAACAGCAATCGCACCAATACCCGCAGCACCAGCACCAGCAACAGCAATACCCACAGCAACAGCAGCACCAGCAACAGCAAGGGGGTAACCAGAATGAGCTTGAAGAGGTTGTCAACGCCGTTCTCCCCAGAATTCTGCGCAAGCTAGAAAAGGCCTGCTGTGTGGTCATGTGAGGAGAATGATCGCCTTGCAACCTGGATATACGGCGTGGGCATTGGCCCGATTTCGACGATTTTGGACATAAGATACAGTAATGTCTTTGGATTAATACGAGGGCAGCTACTGGTGAATGAGATTTGGATTGTTGTTGGATATTTGATAATTCCTGGAGGGAGCGGGGTAAAAAGTCGTCATGATTTCTTTCACACAACTACCCTGTCCCGTACTCTTGCAGGTAGCAGACAAAGAAAGGTCTTCGTAATTGATTTGTTATCACGTGTGCAATCTCTGATTCAGCGCTGCTAAATAGACAAGATCATGTATGTTTCTCCATCATCTCTCCTTGTTTGAACCACCACATGTATGTCCGAGCTCCATCGTCTAATTCGACGGCCTGGGATTATGTCGGGGTTTGTGGCATGAAAATCATATGGCCAGCTTCCCCCCTCCTATTAATTGGACTCTTGAGGTTTCCCTAGTGTGGATTCTGTGATCTTGTTGAGAATCACACGAACCATCGCGCCATCGTCGCAGGCCCCGTGGCCATCGATCTCGGTGATGAGCGCCAACGCCTTGTCCCGCAGTTCGCGGACGACGTCCCGCGTGTGCGCAAAACTGCCGGTTTGCTCCATGTACGTCACCGCGTAGCGCTTGACCTCCTCGTCGGTGGTCTTCTGCTTGAGGATGCTGAGCAGCTGGTGATCCCCCGGCCGGGCGCGGATGCTATGGATGATCGGGAAGGAGAACTTGCCCTCGGTGAGGTCCTCGCAAAGGCCCTTGTTCTTGGTGTAGGTGCCGCTGGAGAGGTTGAGGTAGTCATCGCAGATCTGGAAGACCAGGCCCATGACGTTGACCAGACTCACGCAGTCCTTGCCCGCGCCGCTCTCGGCCTGCATCAGCTTCACGGCCAGCCGGAACAGCCCGCCCGTCTTGTTGCCGACCATCTCCAGGTACTCCTCCTCGGTGGGGCAGGTCAGCGTCTCCCGCCAGAACAGGTCCATGCCCTGGCCCCGGTGCAGGTTCAGCAGCTCCTGCACGTAGATGTCGATGGCGGCCGGGCTGTGCAGCTTCTGCACCTCCTGCAGCGCGAGGAAGTACACGTAGTTGGCCGAGTTGATCGTCTGCGCCGTGCCGTAGATGTTGTGGGCCACGGGGATCCCGCGGCGGAGGACCGAGTTATCTTCGACATCGTCGATTCTGTCGGTCATAGGTTTTCCACAGGTCAGTCTTTGTTTACGCGGATGGCTTCTGATTTTTTTTTTCTTTTTTTTCTTTTTTTTTTTTGCTTTTGCTTTTGCTTTTGCGCTCCCCGAGGAAGCTTTCCGTGGATATTGGTACCGAAAGGTGGAAGCTTACAGTAAAGAGGCAGTGTGCAGCATGGCCACCACCTTGGTGATGATCGTCAGGCTCTCCGGGGGCACATTCAGCCATACATTGAAGGCGTTGATGAGCTGTCGGCGAATGTCCTTGCCCGGGTGCTGAAGCATATAGTCATAGGGACCGAGCACGATCTTCTCGTTCTCCGGCGACCATTGCCCGTCCTTGTACTTGGTGCCATCCACACTGGACCGGTTACGAGTATGCGTGCGGGACACGTTATTGGGATTCGTCGAAAGGACGCCATCGGCTGCTGTTGTCGATCCAAGCCCCCGACCCTGCTCGGGGATCGCTGTCAAGTCCGATCCGGGCATACTGGGTGGACCCGCTTCAACCCAAACATCGTCATTCGTGACCGAGCTCGAATTGGGTTGGAGGAGAGTGGTCGGGGCTGGCTGGAAAAGTGGCTCGGAAGGCATCTTGTTTCCCGTGCGTCTCAAGACGAAAGTTGCTTTGCTGTATCCGCTTACTTTTAGGGGGGGTTGCTGAAGAGGATAGAAGTAGGAGTAAGCGGAGGAGCCGGGGGGGGGGGGGAACGCACTCCTTTTTTTCTGTTTAAATCTTGTGGAATTTTACCCCGACGTTCTATGACAGCGAAAATGAACACGAGAGGCAAAGTCCTGCATACTGACTCGGAGTCAGTTGATTGTGAGGTAGGTTTGTAGAAAGCCAGGTTGGGTCAAGTAAAATGTGAAATAAGAAAACCTAACCCCCTGCGCGAACAGTCAGACGGGTCGGTTTTTTGCTGCATGCATCCAGCAGTTGTTGCATAGCCGCGGAGAAGAGAGGGGGGAGGGGGCAATCAATCAATAGGCGGAGTGAATAACCCAAAAATCTACGGCGGGGGATAACGTGACGTAGTGTCACATGTCGGGTCGGACAGGACGGGATGAGTCACGTGGTCGGGCTCGTTCTAACTTCTGGCTGGGGAGAAACTCCGACCGAACGGGCCTCAACCTTGCCGCGTGCCTGTCGGTCGCTGACACCAGCACGCACAGTAACACTACATCCATCCTGTATTGTTGATGTTGTTAATGTTGTACGACCCAAGAATCAGAAAGCGAGTGGCTGGTACAGGGCGGAAAATTGCCCGGTTCCGCCCGGACGACTTGCTCAGGAGGGCAAGAGTCAACAGCTGCCAGGTGCGGAGTAGTAGTGGTGGTGCTGTGATGTAGTGATGTAGTGATGCAGTGATGCAGTGATGCAGTGATCAATGATTCAATTTGCATGTCGGCAAGACCGAGACGTCACAATTGAGCCCCATGCCAATGCCCGCCCGCAGGATGCGCTTCATCAATGGCGTAGCTCAGCTGAATCGCAATACCCCAGCCCCCCCAGTTTGACATCATCTATCTACTGCACTAGACTGGGCGCTAGTCCACCACAAGGAGCCCGTGTGAAAAAGCACAGCTGCTGGACGGATCATTGGTAGAGAGCAAGTGGTTCCCGGGACAACGATGGGGATGTTGTTGTCAAATGTGGGGAATCTTAAGGCTGGCGGCTAAGAAAGTGACTTAGTGACTGACTAGTCTAAGGCTCTAAGTAAGCATCGCTGACCGTCTTCCCGTCAACAATCATGTTTTCCCGGACGGTTCGTGCCCACCGTCTTTCTTTTATCGTCACCAATGCTTTCTGGAACTAATTAAGGGCTCCATTCTCCAAGCGTCTGGACTCGATCCATTCTATTTTCTATTTCAGCTTTGAAGCCCTTTGGACTGCTTTGAGGCAATTTTTAGAAAGATCGTACCTCTTAGCCTTCGACCATCTCTACACTACGCACGCTACGTTCCGCTGCGCTACACATCAAATCATCAAATTGTACCCGATCGTCTTGGCCCAAGGGTCTATTCTTCTTCACGGACCCGTCGGTTGATCAAACGCTTTGTTTTTTCATTTATTTTTTTCGATTTCCCGTTTTCTCCATTGTCTTCTTGGGATTTTATTTCTCTTCTTAATTTCTTCTTCGTCTCTCACCCCTTCCTTCTCCCGTCCTTCTGTGCTACAGAGTTATTGGAGTTTCTGTTGCGCCTCTTACCCTTCCCTGTTCACACCACTCATGGAGGCATTGCTGGCGCATTCGTTTGACTATCTCTCTTCATACGAGCCAAGCAAGGTCCGGAAGGGTCTGCGACAGGTGGAAGGGCTCCTCGCACAGATCTGTTTGTCCAAGTCGAAACGACCGGCGTCGGACAAGCGGCGGTCCCTCCTGTCCTTTGGAGCTCCGCAACCCGTGCCCAAGTCCCTGTCCGAACTCAAAGATGATCCGGCTTTCAGGGAATTCTTCAAGCTTCAGGAAGGCTTTCAATGGAATGGTGAGTAACACTGCCGCCCCTGCATCCATGCATGTCGCAACATCCATGATGCTGATTTGCTATCCACAGTCGCAATGCGCCTGGTAACATGTCTCGAGCATCTACTTGGGCGGGGCAGCAATGGTACCAACGACGCTCTTATTGTTACCACCCTTGACCTCATACAAGGCGTGCTTCTACTCCACCCGCCCTCGCGCACGTTATTCGCGCGCGAGATATACATGAATTTACTCCTCGACTTGCTCGACCCCATCAATTGCCCAGCCATCCAATCAGCGACTCTTCTCACCTTGGTCACAGCTCTTCTGGATCACCCAGCCAACACACGCACCTTTGAGGAACTCGACGGTCTACTCACCGTGACCTCCCTATTCAAACAGCGGGCCACTTCGCGCGAAGTCAAGCTGAAGCTTGTGGAATTCCTCTACTTCTACCTGATGCCAGAAACTCCGATGATTCCGACAAGCCATTCTGCGCCCAACACGGCCGTCATGGGTCATCAGCGCAGCCCCAGCAAGCTTGGCGCAGCGCAAGTGTCCAGGAGTGTCAATGTTCCGGGGGCGTACGGCGGCGGCAAAGCACATCGGGATGAGCGCACCACCGACGAGAAGCAAGCGTTACTAGGGAGACATCTGAACAATGTCGAGGATCTGGTGGAGGATCTCAAAGAAACCGCCCCCTTCGGCGCCACCGTCTACTAAACATCATTTTCGAGCGACAATGGGTTTCTGCGTTCTTGTGTTCTGTTTTCAGCGACGGAGCTTGCATGGATTTTTACGGTATCATGGCTGGGTTTTGCTTAATCGGCTTATTGGGGTTTTTTCCTTCGACGATCTTGTCTTTTTCGCGACTTGGTCCATTTTCCTATCTTCTTCTCTCCTTGGCTATCAGGGCCATTTATGCCATTTTCCTGTTCTTTTTTTTTCCGTCTGGCACGGTCTTTGGATTTTCGAGCACCATTCCTCTTCTTTCATTATTCCCTGGTCATGTCTTCCCTATGTTTTATGGCTGTTTAGCATGTGCTTACGATGATGTCTTTCATGTGCCATGTTTGCGATCGGCGCTCGATCTCCCAGCGTCCCCAGCTTCGAATGAACGAAACCTGAAACAACAAATAGTTCAGTGTTGGTGGAGAACCTCATATCCAGTTTAGTGTGAATTTGATCTGACGGGCGCATGGCTAGCCCCGTGTTCTTCCTCAATAATGTACGTGGCTGGACGTTGCAAGCCAGTCTTTCTGAGTAGAAAGGTCGATGCTGGGCTGCGAGTGTACTAGCGTTGCGTTGCATCCTAGTAGAATTTCAATCCTGCAGCCACCTCCGCACCGTTAACCTAGCTCAACCCAGTTAAACCCCCAGTTATGATTATATCGCAGTGTTGGGACGTAAAACCTTCAGCGGATCCTCGGATCTACAACCATTCGCACATCCAGCCTCTAGCCTCTAACCCCAACCAAGATTCGCGAACCACCAACAAACTCATTCAACAATCACTCTGAAATATTCCAGCTCGAGTTGCTTCGAAAACAGGTCCTGTCCCGTTAGCAAATAGGTATAGCAAGAAGGCTTGTCCAATCGGCGCAAAACCTGATTCCGGATTTCCTGCTGGGAAGTTAATAGTTGCAACATATCCCGCCGTCCCAAGAACATGGCTTGCCCGGAACAAAGCAAATGAAAGTTGACGACAAGCAAGCCAAGAAGTAAGCTGATTCATCGCTGACTACAGATACAGGTTTGCCGAAAGGCTTCTGAGTTGGAGGGGTCTGGGATGTTGGTTTATGGTTCTATCGCGAGATATATAGATAGAGGTGGATGATTGGGTTGGGGTTTGGAGGGGCTCGGTGCTGACTGTACGGTTCTTTCACTTATTCTTCCAGAGTTGCCGTTTACAGTAAATACACATGAGGGCCCGGGACTTCTAGTAATATCCCGTCAGGTCGGATTATTGCTCACGCGGTTTACACGGCCTATGGCTTTTCTGGGGGAGGGATGGATAGGGATGGACCTGGTAAATGTATGCTTTATACTTTTCTCCTTTGCGGATGTGCACATGGTGCACGGGGCTACCTTGATAGGCTTTCTTGTCAAGTGGAGAACGTAACGGGTAGGCACGGTGCCACTTTGTTTAATCCCTACGGAGGAATTTGAGCTTCAGCTATATTGTTTATGCTATTCGTTGTGGTTGATTGGGGTTTTTGCTTCTTGAGGGATCACTGGGTATGGATCACTGGGCGTGGGTGACAAGTTGGTCTGGTCTGGGCTTGAGGGATATCAATTCTGGGGGGGGAGAGGCTGGTCGGATGAGAATAGGTAGCTAGTGAAGTGGACATACTATATGTATTGTTGTAGATGCAAAGTCGGGTGGACGAGAATCGGATGTGGATGGGTTCTGGGTTAATGGAGCAAGGAAAGAGGGTAAAAGATGAGTTGGAGATAATCACAAAGATGGCTTGAACAGGTTGGGCAGGGCTTGTCTTGAGAATAATTCTATATCTTTATGTCTAGTAGGCTAGGTAAACGTGCTTCTCGGCGATCGGGTGGTAGAGGGGGCTAATATGGTACAGAGAGTGGGTTTGGTGTAAAATCGTTTCTTCTTTCTTTTCGTCATACAGCTCTAGAAGAACTTCAACAGTCTTTCGCGGTGTTGTACAAGGTTCTCATGGCGTCGCAGCAGCTGTCCCAGCCGGTCGCGCTTCCAGCCCATCTTCTCGTCCAGGATCAGGTGCGTGTATGCGAAGACGCTGGCGTCGAATAGGCCCGGATTGGGCCGGTCGAAGAAGTGCACGCTGTCCCCGAGGAGCGTCGACAGGGCCTCGAATGCCTCGCCCGCTTCCGCTTCGAGCGCGCCGGCGTCGATATAGGTCGATGTCTTCAGGAGCTCGGCGCGCGCCGCCTGCTGCAGCTGCAACGCCAAAGCGGCCCGGACGGCGGGGTTCGTGGTGCTCGCGTCGACATAAAGACGTCGCGCAACGGCGTCGAAGTTTTCGCTGTCAACGTACAGGGCATACAGCTGGAACGAACATCGTATGTTAGCATAAGGACTCGTGCGGGGCCTGCCTCCGCTTGTCACCACACGCCAAAAACACATACCCAGGCATTTCGTATCCGGTGGTCCAGCAACGATGCATATACTTCGAAGCGCGTGTTTAGTTGTTGCTCCTCCTCACAGTGCACTTGCTCAATGGCCCATTTTTGGAGCTTGCTGGAAGGGATCGGGGCGTTGTTGCCGACGGGCAGGGCGGGGAGGAGGAAAGGAAGGGCGCCGGTGGGCGATGCATGGTTGCTGGATGGGACGATGTCGAATTCAATGCCGGCGAACCGCAGATATGCCTAGAACACCACAGACGAGCGTCGTGAGCGACAATGCGAGACTTGAGGGGAAGATTGTTGTATGCAATTACCTGCCACTTGAGGCATTGAGGGTTGAAAGACGGCCTCCCATGCCTAGCGCCGGCGGCATCTGTGAAAACAAACAACCGATTTCCCTGTCGATTGGACCAAGAGCAGTACGGAAGATCATTGGCAGGATAAGTGACAAGAGGGAATTTGTCGAAGATGCGCTTGACTGGTGCAGGGACGGAGAAGAAGTCTCGAGCGCGCGCCGCCGCAGTGGCATTGTCCGGCGTCTGGCCGGGGGCTTCACGGCGTTCCGAGGTCATTGGAGGAGGAATAACAGAAGAAACAAGGAGGAGCGATGTCGATGAGTATTCAGGTAGATTGTAAGCTAGTCCCAGCTTCAGCTTCAGTCAGCGAGGTGTATTACGCCTAAAGGCAGGCGAATCGAGGAATGGAAGATCAGAATCGTATCCAACGGAAAGCATCGCGATGGCCCTCGGAATAGCTGCGAAACAATAAACTCCGGTGCCAAGCTTATTATTGCCTGAGGCACTAAGGCACTGAAACAAAGGCCGAAGGAGGGGTGAGTGCCTGAGGTTGCGGCGGGCGTCTCGGCTTATCCTTATCGATCAAGAATTGCTCGCTTTGACATTCGCGCCCACCGTCCGCATTTCCCCCGCATCTTCCTCTCTTTTGAATCTTCTTTCTTGCCTGCGGGGCTGTAGTTCGATGACGACAGCACAACAGAGCGCGACGAGCGGAGTTTCGATGGCCCTGGGCTTATCACACGGCGCTTGTTCTCTTCATTGTCTCCCAACTCTCCATATCCGGAATCTGTCGCTACCTGAGTAACCGACCAGTTCGCACTGTCTCGAAAATTATTCACGACTTATCAACCGGATCACTAGATCGATAGTATCACAAGGGTCACCGCCATCAGCCTGACCTCTTTCGATACTGCTCTTGGTCGCTGAGTTGAGGATAGGTCTGTGGTGGCTCTAACCCTCTTGAGATTGCGCCGAGGCCTCGCGAGTAGAGTACACTGGAAGCCGTGGCACGATCGGACCCCTCTGGGCGGGGTAAAACCACTGCGTCGCTGAGTCCACCTTGGAGCAAACGCGCCGTCAGGGGAACTCGATCCATATCACAATATACGCCTGACGAATGCAGGATTGAGCTTCAAAATGCCCCTCGACGAAGAAGGCGCCAAATGGTCGTGGTATGGCATATTTCCGGGTTGATTCCGCGCTTGCGCTAATATTGATCTCATTTCACTAGCGAGCCATGCATTCGTGGTCATCGGTCGTCCAAATGTCAACACTTTGACAGAATGATGATGAAAGTGCCAAAAGCTGGTCGACCTCTCGCCAGATGCCCTCATCCGAAGGGCACGTGTAGCTGCCAGAAAACATATGCTTTCATGATCCGAATTCCAAAAGGTTGGTTCGGTCCCAATCGCCTGCCTCAAAATTCTAGATTGTCGCTCCGCCTCCTGAAAGTCTCGTCCAGGGTTGCTGATATGGTCCAGGTTCCGGTTGTTTGTGCAGACCAGTGTATCAAGTGCCCGCAGATGCTGCTGGGACTGTCTCCTCTCCGGCCGTCGGTTCAACTCCAGCGCCTTCGAATGCACCCATCAAAGTGCAGAAGCCCGGTAAACGGCAGATCAAAACTGCGCCAGAAGCCTTGACCAAGGCGCTCAATTCTATTCCGGTATTTGCGAATCAACTCACTGAGAGTGAATTTCGCAATCGCTCCATCTCATACCAACCCCAGGATCTGGAATTAAACAAATCGTTCGTTGCAGCCAACCAAAACTCGGGCGTGTTAAACGGCACTGGAGGAAACCCTGTCTCCGACAATCCTTCCAGTTCTGACAAAACGATACCTGAACCTAAGAGTTGTTGCAATGGTACGCGTCAGCCAATTGCACCGCCGGCACCCGAAGTCCAGCGTTCTTGCTGTGCGAAGCCTAAGATAGCCCCCCAAAGTGAATGCTCTCAGAAGATCAAAGCCGTAAAGTCGGTTGGATCCCAATCATCAAGCTCCAGCGGAAACGCAACACCGTTTTCCTCCTTCTCCAACCACCAAGTCTCCAATTGGCATGACTCCCAAATAGCGAAGCAAGGTCATACCTTGTCATCATCATCTCTTTCTCCGAGCCACCAAGCATTCTCATCAATCATTCCTGACTATTTGTCCCATTACACCCCAACTTCGTTAGAGATGCCACTTCACGGGTCCTCCAACGACACCGAGCTTTCTCAAGCGTTGATGCAGCAGCCACAATTCTCAGACTTGACGGGACATTCCGACTTTTCATCCGCGGCAGCAAACGAGGATGATGCCACTCATGAATGTTACTGTGGTGACAACTGTCAATGTCTAGGCTGTGCTTCTCATCCCTTCAACAACACCACCAGACAACATGTACGAGAAATGGGACTATTGGTGGCCTTGAACGATGGAGAACAAGGTTTGGAAAGCCCAAATAGCCGTCAAAACTCTCCTTCGTTGGGTCAACAGCCGATGTTTTCTCCGCTGCACTATTCATATACCAATTTCAGCCACCCATCTGACAATCTTGTTCAACCATTGGGAACGCATCCCTTCGTCGACCAGTCTGCTACACCGGGCAGCCTCAGCGGTGGCTACACAACTCCTTCCACAAATTACATAGCGAATCAGCATATGATGGAGCCCTCGGAGTACTATACCCTGGAGTATCCAATAGGACTTCCGAGTGCTTGCTCAGACATAACCGGTAGTTGCCAGTGCGGGAACGATTGCACTTGCGAAGGCTGCCTCACGCACAGTGGACACAACGGTCTCGCAATCGCTCCCTTGCCATCCGATAACCACCAATGGGACAATACTAATCTCGCAAACCTCGCGGCTGATGGAGCACTGTCTGGCACATCCGAGATGTCCGCGTTTGAAAATCTTTTTGCACCGTCACACTCCATGCTTTGAAATATCCACTTCTGGTCCGAATCTGGTCTAAGGCTCAAATTCCTACTCCCTCCGTGATCGTCTGCCATTCAGGACCTCCGAGATGGGATACTACCGGCGCTAACATCCTCCAATGACTGACGATCGATCATGATACCCCTCCGTACACACGGTGATAGAGTATATGACAAAACTGTGTATATGCTTGCCCGATCTTTTGATACCTTTAAATGACACACATTACTCCTCTCGTGAATCTACTACTTTTTCTTAAGCTTAACCGGTGGACTATGCTTACTCACAACAGCCAGGCCTTACAAGAGCTGGACTGAAACCTTTCCAAGTACACATAGACAGATAGAGGAGCTGGCGCAATTTGCCAGGCCATGACATGCTTGAGTTGCGCACACATATTAAATGTGAGCACACAACTCAAGCGTGAGAAGCAAGCCAGGTCTTGTCCTTGACTACTGTAGATGCGCCGTAAAGCCGAACAGGTCCAACGATAAATTGCATGCTAAAAGTAAAGAAAAGTCTAGAAGAACCTTCTAAACCGCACCACCACTGTGTGCCCTCAGCGCCGACTTGATTTCCTTCCCAGCTATACAGGTATCATACAGAAACAGATGCCGAGTCGGGGATGCTCTACCGGCGCAGAGCATCTCTGACGGGGGAGTCACCCCGACGGAAGGAAGCTAGAATTTAATCAGTCAGTGCGCGTGCTATTGGGCCATCCAGTGATGAAACAACATACAGTCAGCCTCCTCCCAAGCACGGCCGGCACCGAAGCCCAGACCAACCCAGGCGGGCCAGGCTCTCCGCTTGAAGAGCAGAACAGAGAAGACGACACCGAAGGAGAGACCGAGGGAGGAACGGATGATGAGGGAAGAGATGGCGCGGTCCCACTGTATTGTGTAAAAGAAGATCCCCAAGATTAGCTTAGTGTGTTCAAGGATTGATTTCGCAGAGATCGATGTATGAGGGTGTTCCGGATGATGTCAACGGAGATTGACGGTCCGTCGCCATGGTAGAGATGCGCCTCGCCGGATCATTGATCTCTTTGCATTGATTTGACCAAATAGCAGGAGAAGAAAAGAGGAAATTGAGCCAGTGCTCATCAGTCGGCGTACCTTCTCGTTCAGTAGGGCCTCGCTGACGGGCTTAGTGGAGCGAGGGACCGGTACAACCGGCTGGGGTTCGTTGGAGTCGGCCATTGCGAGAAACTTCAATTGAGTATTAGTGGTGTTTCTTGATGGAGTATATTGACAATTAGCAGTCGGCACAGACCTAATTACAGACAAAGGCGGGGATGCCTGAAAGTGAATTAGAGCTAAATCAAGGAGGAGAGAAGATTGGGAGAGGAGGGGGATAACACACACAGACACGAGATCAAGATCGGGTGCGGACGTTCGAGCTCTGCTACCGAATTGAAAGGCGGTCGGAAAAATTAGGCTGGGGGCTGGCTTGCCAACTGGTAAGAACTGCTGCTAATAAAGAAAGAAAGAAAGAAAGAAAGGGAAAGCATTCCGCCCGCACGCCGCCTTTTCCCCTCTGGCGTCAGTCCAACTTTTTTTCTCGAATAATAATTAGAATTAATCTCGGGAACACCAAATCCAAAAAACTAACCCCCCCCTCTTCTCCTCCTTCTTCTCTTCCATACGGACGATGTTTGCTTCGTCCTGACCTGGTCAGACAAGCGATCTTGATTTGAACTCTACTCCAACGACCAGGTTACTTGACTGTCTCACATCTCCAAGTCGAGATGCCTTCCGTCGCGGAGGTAGGTCGTTCTTTTGCGCCTGAAATTATCTTCTTGTTGATAGGTAGATAAGTCGGCTAAATAATCGCATCCTTTTTTTTCTTATACAGCGCCCGCGTTCGTCGCAGGAGGCTCTGCTCCGTCTCGAAAAAGGCACCGCATCTCCCACCGCACAGCTCAACGACGCTGCGAATATTATCGGCTTAGATCTCGCGCTATGTGCCAGTCACCCTGAAATCAACCGAACCCCCCACTTCCAGAACAACGCCGCCCCCAAAGCGGAATGGGTCCTGCGATGGTTGTTGAAGAGGCTGCGGACTGGAAAGAACTATCGTGTCGATGCGACCTCCTTCCTCTTACTACGACAGTTGATCGATTTAATCCCGCCCAAGACATTGGCCACGACCCTGAAGGACCAGAAATTTCTCGGAATTGTCCACGATGCTATCGCCGACCTGGAGGAGGATGTGCTGGCCGGATTAGGGGATGGGACAGCCGAGCTCCTGCACTCCGGCTCGGAATCCAGTCACACTCTGGGCGATTCACCACACCGCAATGGCGACTACGATAAGAAGGGAACCAAGAGGAAGAGGTCCGGCGCGGACGAACCTGATGCCATGGATATCGACGACCCGCCCCGTACTCCAACCTCCTGCTTTGTGGCCTTTATCCGCGCGCTGGACTGTCTGTATAGCCTGGTTATGCTTGTCGATCGGACATCCGGGGTCGACGAT